GTTTGAAATGGTTCATTTAAAGAGAAGAAGAAATAAAATCATGAGAAGATTAAACTCAACAAGCAGTTGCGATGAAAGAAATCATGAGGCATTCTGGATGCATAGCACTGACAAAGAAGCAGGCTCTTCTGTTATCGTACCTCTGAAACAACGAATTGGAAAAGAAAAAAAAAAATTTAGGGCTCACAGGAAAATGGAAGAGTTCTAAAGATAGAGAATCCAATATATTAAAAAAGCAATCTGGAAACTCTATTTCGGTCCCGGTGTTTTGAATTCCTTGAATGTTCTTGTTGGCCTTAACCTTGGATTCAACAATGGAACTTGTTTTGGAGCTTATGGAAATACCGCAAGTAAATTTTTATTATGATTAATTTTAATTTATCTTCAATTACTTATTGAATTAATCGGTTAATAATTTTAGGATTTGTTACGGTGTTGTACACCCATAATTATATATGGTGCATCCCACGTTTATTGGATAGATTTTAACTGTATCGTTCAATCAAAAACTAATAACAAGGCCATAGAGTTTTCCTATATATATATATATATATATATATTTCCAACGTGTTTGGGAACCTAAATGGTCACACACAACATGACAATCACTTGGGACGTAAGGAGTTATCAATAAATGGGCTTTATGGTGTGATCTAACCTCATATGAGAGACTTTTAAATAAGTTATAGATACAAGTTCTGGTATAAATTATCGGTTCCATAAACCCTAACTCATAATTCAGATAACTAGCCGTCAAGCCTGGTGTTTGCGTCTCAATAATGGTTGTTGCTTGTTTCTTCTTAGAAACAGTTCCCCTTACATCGATCTCAACAATGTCACTAGACTTTAACTTCCACTCAAATCATCACTTGAAAAACATAGCTCAAACAAACCATCTTCCTCATCCAAGGAATCATCTTTATGATAATTCAAAGAATGAAAGCCAATGTTTCCATATAATAATTGTGGCTTTTCTTTTGGAAAAGGTTAATCTCTTTTAGCGACACACTCTCTTTTTAAATGGATTTAGTTTAAGAACTTTGCAAGACAAGAATACTTTCTTATCTTCTATCCAAATAAACTGTGATAGGAAGTTACATGATTCTGATCCCTAAAGCTTATATACTTTTTATATTGGATAGAGAAATAAAGAGTTCAAACCAGTTTTGGCATCTGTGTTATTAACTAATCAATTTCATCGAAGTGATTTGAAATGGATTTTTCTTTAGTTGATTCATTCTTTTACTATTTTTTCATAATAAGAAATCAATTCTTTTTTCATAATAAGAAATCAATTCTTTTGTGGGGTAATTTGTAGATCAACTCAGGCAATTATTGTTTTAAAAGACCTCAGTAGTTCTTATATTGCATTCAATAAACATCTTGTTTGTGTATATACTGTAATTTATGAGGTACTTTGCCTAATGGCTACCATTTTCTCCTCCTTTCCCAAAAGATCAACTTGGTATAGATGATTTTTTAGTACTTCATATTTTTCTTATTAATTTCTGATGAGGATTTTTAATTAAGATAATGCTCAGCATTAATTAATTTAATAATACTAATTGGGTGAGTTCTTGTGGGGGAAAATAGGTACGTTTCTCTCTCTACCCTCTCTCCACTCTCTAGCCTCAAATACAGCCGCTCCCACTTTTTCTCCCCCAGCAACTACCATTAATGGTGGCTGGGGGAGCTAATCTAGTCCCCTGCCACCTTTAATCAGATAAAAACAAAAAAAAAGGGAAGGGGGGCTCTTTTGCTGCCGCCCACAGAGCCACCTACACCCTCCACTGCTGCTGTCCACCGGTTCGCCTAGGCCATGTTTCATGGAAGCTGCCGCCGCTGCAACGTCTTCAGAACAACCGCGGCTCGCAGGCCCTCCCTCACAAATCCGGCCTCACAGATCCGGCGGGATCTAGGCTTATAGACACTGATTCACAGATCCGGCGAACAATGATGTGCCCCGGCACTGGATCTGGCTGGGCTTGGAACTGTTTTCATGCCACTGCCCATGGATTGCTGTTGCTGTCACTGGATCTGCTCTTTATCAGATCCGCCGAATTTCAGCCGCCAACGGTGATATCTCACTGTTTACTAGCGGACCACATGTGGTTGTTTTTTTATTGTTGTGTTTTAATTCAATTAAATGGGATAGCCCACCCTCAGTATAGATCTCGGATTGACTCTTTACAGGGCGAATTTAGTGCGTCAACGGAACCGAGTCCGTTGGTCGAGTCCAAATTCGGTGTGTGCTGTTCGTCGTTAATGACGATAAATTTGTGCCTAAATCTGCTGATAAGTGATGTATTCGAGTTCAGAATTTTATTCTGTTCCGTGATATGTTCAACAATAAAATTATGCCATTATAGGATTGATAAACTTTTTGGCAGTTGAATTGGTCTAGTCACTGGTGCAGTGACTAGTACTATAAGTACGCCATTAGGACGGTTTGAGTATGTCATTTTGAACAGTTTGTTCTTGTATCAAATGGTATTGGATCATTTCCAGTGATTTTAATGAAGTTTGCTTTCCCCTAAAAAAAAAAAAAAATTGGGCGAGCTCTTGGTTCAACCAAAGAAGAGGAGGAGCCTTTGGCAATGGTGCTCGGAAACTTGCTTGAACTATACAGAGATTCAGTTGGATAACTGTTGATGTTAGGAAGGTTTTTCTTATCTTTTCTTATTTCCTTTTATAAAAATAAAGGTGTTTTGGTATTTGTAATTAAAATTTAAGTTTGACTTGAAATTGGATTATTTTTGGAGACAACATTGTGTTTTTAAACTGAACTATGTTCTTTTCGGGACAACAAAAGTATTTTAAAAGAATTTTCTAGTTTGTCTTTATTTTGTATTCAAATTTACAAATTAATTGAGAAAATGGAGAGTATTTTTTTAAAATATAAGTCAAATAAGATATATTATATAGAATTCTTAGAAAAAAAAAAAGCTTTACAATACTATAAAGAATTTTTGATAAATGTGGAAACACTTGTCCGATGGAGTTTGTTTATTTCCTTTTTCTCTTTCGTTGTTTTGTTAGATTTTCGCCTTTGGGGAGTTTCCAAGTCGTTTCAATTGAAAGTGTTACTTGTGACTACATTGAGGGTAATAGTCCATGTGACAACATAAATCCAACAATGAATTCTCTTACAAGTGCACATTATTGTCCTCAATATTTTGGGATTTGACAACTTTAGTTCTTAATATTTCTACTTTTATAGGTTTAGTTTTCAACGTATGAATTTGAAACTGTTTGACGAGGAGTGCTTAGTTAATTCAATTACTTTTTTCTCGTTAATTAAACTAAAAGAAATAATTAATGATATTTATGATTTAAGTTGATTTTATTCACCAAAAAAACACACATAATTTGTTTCAGTTACAAATACATGACTGATATGTAATTAGCATGAAAATAATTTCATAATTTAATAAACGTTAGGCTTTTGTTCTAAGTGTGTATCTAATCGTGTTTGAACTTGAATGTTGTTTGTTTGCAAATTAGAACATTAACAATATGATTAGTTAAGTTTCATGCATGATAATTGATTTTGCATTTACTTGTTCAAACAATGAAGTCCATGAAAAAATGAGAATAAATTAAGTGAAATACCTAATTGAATGGTCTTTGGTTGTCCTAGCAGCAACCTAGAATTGTTTGACGAAATCCTTCAAGGAAAATAATGATTTTTGAAATATTAAATAATTAACTAGTGTACATAATCACAGTAAATTTTTTGATTTCGCTTTGCTACACATGGAATACACCAAATCTTCTTTTGAAGACACCATTTTCAAATTCATGGAATATTTGTTGTTTAGTGGGAGCATTGACACAGTGCGATGTTGCACTTCTTTTTCCCCCTCTTATGTTACAAAATGTCTTCCATCAACATCACGAATTAAGAAAAAGAAAATAATTTTCTTAAATATAGTGCTTTTAAACTTTTAAAAAATAATAGAATCAGTAAAGATTATAATATTTTTGAGGGTATTTTTTTTTTGTAAGGTTACACAATTGTGATCATTTTAAATAAAAAAAGTGGGGGAACACGTGACTGATATATTTTGTTTTATTTTTATTAAATATCACACATTTTGTGATTTTTTTGAAAAGTATAAAATTTACTGGATTAGATGAGTTTGCCAATAGTACCTATGCAGTCATGGTTGTAGTAAATTTATTAAGAAATTCAATTCAACTTCTTACCTAGAGCCAAAAAGTTGCCTCGTATGAAATTTTAAGGAAAAAGATACTCCACGGATTTGGTTATTGGTAAAGGAGAGTGACAAATTTAAGTTTTTATTTTTTTGACCTTTTTCATTTTACATTATCCACATATTTACCCTCACATTAATGAAATGGAGATTTGTGAAAATAAAAAATAATAATTTGGGGCACATATGGAATAACGACAAAACTAGTAGGTCAAGATTGCAATTTTTCTTAAATCAATGGGACATTGATCTTCCGTGCCCCAGTTTCTTGCCAAAATTCGAACATCAAGAAGACCATGAGAAGAACAGCTCAGAGAGCTCCAAAAGGGATAAAACGACATTGTTGTATTTCTGATCAACGCCAGAAAACGGGAAATTTCCACTTCCACAGTTCAGGTTTCGTCGCGAATCCGAGACTCGTCGCTTCTAATTTGTTCACGAATTTGAGTTAGAATTTCATTGCTTTATTCCAAATTTGTTCGTTTTGGTATTGATTTTGTCCGGATTTGTGTGTTGAATTTGATGATGAATGAAAATGAGCTTAATCAATTGGATTGAACTTGTTGATTGCTATATTCGTCGAATTTTTGAAAGTTTTTGCTGTTTAATATCCTGGAGGAAGTCAAATGCAACTCAGATGCTAATTTCTTTCTAGTGAATCTTTATATGTCTTAGTTCTTCCCCTTTCTTTCTTTGTCGTAATGCGAATTTCAGTTCCTATTTACTGTAAGAGCCGTATGCCCATCACTTCTCAGTCTTTGGTTCGCTGCAATTTCGTAAAGGATGAGGAGCATGAATAAATCCGGTGGTGATGAGGGTCCAGCTGTATTGCAATTACACAAATGGAGGCAATCTGAAGTAGATTTTCTTAGGAACCTTTCGGAATTTCGCCAGGGCTATATTTCGCCATCTAGAGAGCTTTTGTTATTGCTATCAAAGCACTGTGAAGCTCTATTGCTTCCTGTAGTTAAAGGTGAAATGAGATTTGTGTTTTTTTCCTTCTTTCGTTTTTTGTTATACTCTTTCATTGGTAATCAGTCTTTTGATCATAGCTATTAATTTTACTTCCTTCTGTATTTTTGATCAAATTCTGAACAGAGAAACCAAGAACTAGTAGTGACACTGCAAATGTCAGTTGCCAAGGTTTAGAGGATGTAGATTGTGCACCTTCTAGATTGGCCAAGGTATCAGGGAGTGCGGAAGTACCTGAGTTAACAGAGGCTTCTTCCGGAACTTCCGTAAAAGTGGATGCAGATTTAGCTAAAGATTTTACTAGGGAAACTGGCTTTCTAGGTTCTCATGGCTGCGGTTTTATTTCCGATGTACATTCTTTGGCTTGGGCTAATTGCGAGAATGCCTCCAGTGAGCATGAAGATACTCCATTTAGGGACATACTCTTTGTGTCAGGGAAGTCTGGAGTTACTGTGCATGCTTTTTGTAAACCACACAGAACTAGAAAAGTTAAGAAATCCATGGAAGGACATGAAAATTCACAAGGTATGTGGGTGGATTGGGGGCCGTCACTAGATGATCCTGGCAATGCGACATCGGTATTACATTATGATGGTTCCAAAAGTTCTTATTCTAAGAGCAGAACTATTGAAGAGGTGGACTGTAGAAAATGCAATCATGTTCAAGATCCAGTGAATGACTCACCTGATTTACGTGCTAGCAAGAGATGGTTGAGCACTTTCTTGGTAAAATTGCAATCAGAGAATTCTGATGGTCATCTGTTCACTAGATTTCCTGAAAGTTCATTACTTCCTTCTTCAGCAGAGGTAATCTCATTTAACATATTTGGTGACGATTCATTGCTTTTGGAGTTTATATCTAAAGGATTTCCTGTAGTGCATGACAGAGGTAGTGATCACATGTCAATTGACATGCGTTACAAATGTTTTAGGGTTTTTTCGAGCAGCTCATTTAGCATAATGGGTTTTGCCCTAGAATTGATAGACTTTGTACATATCAATGAATCTGATGTATGTGAAAGGAAGAGTGGAACTGTAATTGCCATGGTCAATGTGGTCAGTTGTGGTCTGCGGTGGGTTTCCTCAGTCAAGCTTGATGAAGGAAAAGATACTACCGAATGGACTGACTTCAAACTCTCTTCTGCTTTCCTTTTTTGTCTGAAGAAATCCGGCTTAATTAGTGTGTACAGTGCAATGAGTGGAAATTTAATAGCATCTATTGATCTCTTCCTTTTGTGTGGGTTTCAACATCGTTTAGGTCTCCCAAAAGAAGAAGTTGCAACTGACAAATATAACGGACGTGTTCCGGAGAATCATGTTGTATCGTGTCGTGAAGTTCATGATTTTACTGGAACAGGAAGGTTTAAGAGTCTTCTTACATTTTCAGATGTCTCATTATTAGGTATAGTTGATGAACTTGGTACGGTTTATGTGATACGTATTGATGACCATATTCAGGGAAATCATAACTCTTTTGGAAAACTTTTTTCTGATTATCAATGGTTCGGGTGTGGAATTTTGGCTCCCTGGGGTGTAGCTTCTAGTGAAATTGGCTGTCAAAGTGCTAGTAAATTACGGATTAATTGTAAAAGTTTCTCTTCTCGAGTTTATACAGAAATTGTGAAGAGAAGCTCATTTCTGAGAAGTTCTCCGAAGATAAGTGATTTTTCTGGTGCTGAATTATCTCTGAATGTTGTGAGAGAAATTTTCATTCCTAATGATCAATACAGTGAAGATGATGTTGTTTGTTTTTCTCCTTTCGGAGTTACTCGCCTCATGAGAAGATACATTGCCCAGGAACATAAGAAATTTAAACTTTCCCATTCTAGCTTATTTGTGGAACGTGCTTTAAATGATGATCAAGTCTCTAGTTTGCAAGGTTGGGAAACTTCTACAAAGGAAGCTGTTGGATGTGTCTTCCTAGGATCTTTATATTTGGTAACAGCGGTTGGACTCTCAGTTGTTCTTCCAGCCATCTCAAATTCTTCCAGTTTCTTTCCAGTTGAAGCTATTGGATATCGCTTTTCAACTCCCTCAAGTGTAACTAGGCAAGAAGTCAGTAATCATTTGGAAATTGAAAGATCCAAAAAGCCTTGGTCACCTTGGAAGGTGGAGGTTTTGGACAGAGTACTTTTGTTTGAAAGCCCTGAGGAAGCAGATCAATTGTGCCTGGAAAACGGTATTGATTATAACTTTCTTTCTTTCTTTTTTTTTTGGGTTATCTCTCTCTCTCTCTCTTTAGAATTTAACATTGCCCCCAGCTGTCTTTGGGGGGGGGGGAGGGCGATTTGGAGTTTAGGTTTCAAGTGTGTGGTAGCGGGTTGCTAGTATTTTGTTGAGTGTTGAGGAAATATAAATGCCATCCTTGATTGATGACGGATGATTTTGTTGGAGACTTCTATGTTAACTGCTTCTCAGTTTCTAACTAACAGCCTGGTTACCACTGAACGGAAGAAATGTAATGGAGTCATCCAAACACAAATGTTGAAAACATTGATGTTGAAACGAGGCCAAAACTAGTAGATTATGTGGGACAAAACACTTTAAAGGTTTAGTAGTCATTTAAATACCTTGGATGTAGTTAGGGCGAGTGTGGAATTGTCTTTTAATTCTAATTTATTGGTTCTGATTTGGTTAATGACATTAGAGATCAAATCATGTAGGGACACTGGTTTGCTGATGTTATGTGTGTGAACCTAAAAGACCAAAGAAATAACCAAATTAAAACACACTAGAAAGTAGAAACTACTTTATTACCATGAATGTAGTCACAGTAAAACGTGAGTAAAATTGCATGAAGCAACTTTGAATACCAAGAGTAGATTTTAGGCACCCTCCTCTATGGAACTCAATCCTTTCATCTTCTATCTTTTCCTTACACCACTGAAGTGTTTAGTTTTGTCTCTATTTATATGTGTTAGTAACACTTAGACCTTATTTCTTTATTGCTCAAACTATTGGAAAAGGATATGAATTATCTAAATCTTCCTGAGAACGTGTGTTCTGAGAGAGCATGGTGATGATATATGTTCCAATGTGCTGTCATTATAGTTCAGACACTAGGAAGTATCCAGTGATTTGTTTTGGGCAGGCTCCTTTGAATTCCTTGCCTTGAGGTATAACTTTAAGGGTTTGCTAAGCAGTGCAATCAGAGGGATTGAAAATCGCTTCAGTATTTAGTGAGTACTGTTCTTGAATTTTAGTCTTAAATTGAAATGCTGTTGCTTTCATGATTTTGAAAATTACTTTTTGATTTGATCTAGTATCTGTATAGGTCCTATCATTTTCATTGCATGGGAAGGATGACGTTCATTCGATTTTTACGTTCTTTGATTCATAAAATTGCAACGGTGTCTGTGGCTCTGTTCTTCATTTTCTTCTCTCAAAACTTCTTACACTGGCTTGTTCTAAATTTAAGACGATTTAAAATCATTTTAATTTTCAGTGAGTTATTGTGTTAGTTTTATAAACGAATTGTTTCTTTTTCGATTTTGAAATTTACTTTTTGAATGAGCGCATCCCCAGTGATTTGTACTCACAGAAAGGATGGTGTTCACTCAACGTTGAAATGCATTCTGTGTCTTGGTTCATATGAGATTGTGGAATTGACTTTTCCGCATTCTTTTTTGGTTAATTTTCTTGACTCAAAGCTTCTTACAGTGGTTTGTAAGGCTTGTTTTAGATTTACGAAGTTCATTATGAAAGCTTTGAAATGCATTCATGGCAAGTGGGGTATGCTGTGTGCCAGGTGTTAATGTTTGTCCATATGAAAAATGGCTTTACTTCTGGTTTTGGAGTGAGTATCACACTAGGATTGAATACTTTAGTATGCTCAAGAGAATAGAGTTGGCTTCCTTTAGTATCTGAGCTGTCAATATCATCATTAATCTCGTTTAATCGATTATACTCAGAATTCTTGCCTAATATTTCATCTCACCATATATTATCTTCTGGCTAGTTATGTTTGCAACTTTTGGTTAGAATATATCTTAAATAGTACCTTTGAAGATGGGCGTGCACTTGTTTTCATTTTGGTTTTGAATAAAACATGCGGCATTACCCTTCTGTGGTTTGCTTGCATGTGAATTTTAGCCTGCATTCTAGGTCTTAGAGATAAAGGTAACTAGGATTTGCGCTGATGGATGTTGCTCCAATTTTTTAACCCCTTGAATAATGTAAGAACATTTTTTTTTCCCAATGTGGTTTTCAAACTTCAAACAACAATCTTATTTCAGGCCCATATGATGGTGCTTGCCTGCTGATAATGCATAGTGAATACTTGATATGCTCGTGTTTATGAGGCTAAAATTATGTTGTGTTTTTAACTATGTTTCCAGCAGCGAATTTTTTTGGTATGTTTGCGTTGGCCTTTGTATTTTGCATTGCTTCTAACCATGCTATTGTATCTGCAGTAGAAAATTAATTTAGTACACTTTGTAGTTTATATCAAAGCAAGAATGCATGATGCTGAATTTGTCACTTTGTTTCAGGTTGGGAATTAAGCCTTTCACGAATTAGGCGTTTGCAGCTGGCGTTGCATTATTTGAAGTTTGAGGAAATCGAAAAGTATGATTCATTTTCTTGTTTGATATTGTTTTCACTGTATCATCTTCCAAAGCTGTGAAAATTCAAGGATGGTTATGTGTATGAAGCTTCCATATTGTAGCTTCTAGTAATATGTTTTACCCACATGCAAAATGTTTATTTCATTAGGCATTTTGTGTATTTGTTTTAGAAAAACCTTTACTTCTAGTCAGTAACTTAGAAATCAAACCAAGTGTTCTCCATGGCATTGCTGTGGTTTGCGCATTCGAAAATAATTGACCAAAGTCTATACTGCTATAAGTTTTAGTTTATTATCTTCTGATGGCTATGCTTGTCTCTTCAAAGGTAGCTAGTGGTCTTGAGCCTTCTATTGAAGAATCTAAACTTGTTATTTGGAAAGGTGGACTGCAGAAAATTGACTTACCTGGTGCCGAAAAAGCGCAATTAAGAATGGCTGATTAACATGTGTTGCCTCTTTTGTCATTCAGTTGTTGGAATCTCTCTCTCTCTCTCTCTCTCTCTCTCTGTGTGTGTGTGTGTGTGTCACTGTTAAAATGTGACTTTGTTGGCTTATTGGTTGATTAGTCTTGTCACTCTCTCCATTTGATTTGGTCTCACAGTTTTTATTAGTAGCTCAAAACTACCATTTTGAACCAAATCAGTGATGCAGCAACTTCTTAGCCTTTTTTCCCAGTTTATGGTGGTTTGCTGTATGATAATCTGTTGCCAGTGTTAGGATAAAAAGTTGATTTCGATAGCACTTTATGGTTCCTGTTTACTTTGTAGAATTAGCCGCTGTGTCTACAACTGGTAAGAAATAATTGTTCAAACTGAAATCATATTTTGGTGTGTTGTTTGTGTTAAATGGCTTACTGCTTTAAGTAATGTTGTCTTTTCAACAAATAAATGTTTAAACTCTTGATATTAATTTTGACTGGTGTGCAGCTCTTTAGAAATGCTTGCCGTTATCCATCTTGCAGAAGAAGGCATTTTGAGAGTAATATTTGCCGCTGCTTATCTGATATCCAGGAAAGTTAATAACGACAACGAGGTTTCTGCTGCATCAAGGTACTTAGCTGGATTTTCAAGTTTTTTTTTTGGTAACGCCAGGAACCCCACCAGAGATGGGTAAACTCACGTCCACTGTAATAGCCTGCAAACCACAGTGGGAGGTAAACCACCCTAGGCAAGCCTAGGGTGACAAGCTTGGGTGCAAAATGAGGGGTTCATTGCTGGGTTAGGCATAACAAGCCCCTAGAGGTGCCAATAGGCAAGGTGAGAGCCAACCCCTCACTTTTGGTTGGAGTGGGGGATTGAACTCATGACCTCCTCTTGGAGCAAGGGTGGTGTTACCACTGAACCAACTCCTCATTCGCTGGATTTTCAAGTTGTCTGGACAAACACTTTATAATGTTATTTCTGGCCAATTTTGTCTAGACACTTTACTGAATATTTGATACCCCTTAGATGATTATGGAGCACAAAAGTTTCCATCATGAACATTTGGTAGTACTGAAAAGTACAAGACAACTTTGTGGTTGTGATGAGGACTTGCATGGCCAGCTTCTCTTATTTTTTTCAGACTAATCAGTTGCTTTGAATAAAGAGAAGTTTTTATATAGTTGTATATTGAGTAGGTGAAGACGGCTGCTTTTGGTACCATCATGAAATCTGTTTCCAGTGCTTATAGGGATGAAATGATTTTCAGCCTTTACAACGTCTCGAACATGGAATCTAAGAATGAGGAAAAGATTAATTTTTCTTCCCTCTCACAGTTTTAATTTTGTTTTGGGAAGGTAGGACGTGTGGGTGAAGGCTGGGAACTTTCTAAATGTGAGGTCCACCATTTAGGCTTGCTCACTGTCCCCATCGGTCTATCCGCGTGTGTGTTTAGGAGAAAAATGGAAGAGTGAGGGTGGTAGGCAGCCTTGTTTCTACTGACAAGAATATAGATTACGTCGCAAGCTAAAAATCATGGTTAATCATTTTTGACTATTGCCTTGGAGAGAATTCACTTTTCTTGTCTCAGCTGCCTTTCCAAAACGACATGCATGCTTATATACATCTAGTGCAAGTTTTAATTTTGCAAAATTATGTGGACCGGTAATTCTGAGAACTGAAAATTCTGATGCAGGCTTCTCACATTAGGCACCAGCTTTGCTATCAAGATTGTACGTAAATATGGTCTGTTGCATCACAAAAGAAATATGCTAAATCAGAACCTTGAAGATGTCCAAAGCTTTCCTGTTCTTCTTCCCAATGTGATGTATGGTGATGGATCAGAATCTTTGAGGAGGATGTCAGACATGGCGTGCTATTTGGAGATAATCAGAGATTTGCAATTGAGACTTACTGTCAAATATAGAAGGCTAGGTCGTGGATTGGTATGCATTGCATTCTGCCATTTCATTTCTGATTTCAGTTGAGTTAAATAATTATTTCATACCTTGAACTAAAGCAAATACTCTGCCTGTCTGCCATGTTTCTAAGGTGGATGGTCCAAAGCTCTTAAGAGCTAATGATGCAGATCTCTTGGAGGATGACTCAAAGAATTCAATTGAGTCTACAGAACCGTCATCGTTAGGAGCAAAAACTCATGATTCTCTGGATCCTGAACCTGCAAATGTTGAAGTAATGGCTTTGATCCCCGTTAATAAGACCAATACTGAAGCATCCGTTGTTTCTGGAGGAAGTAGTCTTAGAAAAAGAATTTTACCTGTGGAAAATCCAAAAGATATGATAACCCGTTGGGAAGTTGGTGATTTGGATATTAAAAATATTGTTTCAGATGCTTTACTTTCTGGGCGCCTGCCTTTGGCAGTTCTTAAGTTGCATCTTCTCCGTTCCCAAGACGTTATTAGTAAGAAAGAAACTGATGACACCTTCAATGAAGTTAGAGATGTTGGAAGAGCCATTGCATATGATTTCTTTCTCAAGGTAGACTAGTGACATTTGATGTTTGATTTGAATTGAATTGAAGAAGAAAAGTAGTTGCTTCTGCACAACGCCTTTCTATGATAGCCCTCGTTTCTTGTTTGTTTTCTTGGCAATAATATAGCAACTTTGTGGATCAGGGTGAGACATCACTCGCTGTTGCAACTTTGCAAAAGCTTGGAGAAGATGTTGAAACTAGCCTGAAGCAGTTGCTTTTTGGGACTCTAAGGAGATCGCTGCGGAGACAAATATCTGAAGTGATGAAAACTTATGGCTCTCTTGGTTCACGTGAGTGGAAAATACTGGAAAATATTTCGCTTATAGAGGTATGTGGATAAGTAATTAGTAATGCTTCTCTTACACAATCTACTGTCTATTTTTTTTTAATCTGACACTTGTTCTCTTTTTCATTGGAACAAAAGAGGGTGTACCCTTGCAGTAGTTTCTGGAACACATTCAGTTCTAGATGGAATGATTTAAAAGATGGAGCAAGCAGCATTGACTTGGAGGGAATCAAACTGCGGCTGTTGCATCCACTACATAACAATCTTCAGATTTCCTGTGGTGACATTGATGGGGCAGTGTTAGGTCCATGGACAAGAATCATTGGACATCCTGTATCACCTGAGGTTGATAATGACAGCTCCCACGCTAGCTACTGGACTGCTGCTGCTATTTGGTCTGATGCCTGGGATCATCTTATTATCAATCGGGTAAAAGCTATAACTACAGTTGTAACCTTTTCTCATGCTGCCAGAAGTTGTTATGGTTCGTTCGCTTGAAATTACATTTTTGAATGTTATTTCCCAAACATTAAGTGAAATGTAAGAGTGAAGGTCAGCTCCCTCTCTGTTTTATTAGCATTTGTACTTATAGATTTACTTTGAGCACCGCAATAAACGCTATTTTAACCTTGCTGGAGACCTGGCGATTTTACTAAGGGAAGAAGCTTCTGCTGGTAAAAGTAGGTCCAAAATTTCTAATTGTAAGTGTAGACATATTAGGAATTATTAAAACTTAGAGCACTTGTTAGAGTGGTGTATAGGTAAAAGCAAAAGTGGAACTGAACAGTCAGGAATGGAAGCTCTTCAGTACCCGAAGTTATACTTTTTACTGTAATTTATTTGGGTCCCTAGTTTTTGAACTAGGTGACTGGGAATTGACCACTTCTCCTCGGGAGTAATCTCTTTCCTTTTAAATGTAGTTGTTGTGGCTACTTTCTTTATTCCTTTTTTTTGCCTTTCCATAGAGCATTTCTGAATTTAGTTTTCAGGCATGTGTGTAGGAGACTCTTAGATGCCCCAAAAAGACAAGCAGAAACGATAAAATTATTAACTCAAAAATTAGGGGGGAAGGCCTAAAAAGAATCGTCAAGGAACTATGAAGAAAGACGTGATTCCTATGATTTTAAAAGGAAATATGTTTTCTGACAAAACACAATCTGGTCATATGATGTGTGTGGCCGACTCCACTTATAGTGGGATGAAGGCTAAGTTATTGTGGATGCCTTCTTTTGTGTAAAAAGATTCCATCTTCTTAAAGTTTGTTATAGCTGTGTTGCCTCATGGACTTTATCTCATTTGGAAGTGCATAAGAGTGTTATCGTGTTGAGAATTGCTTTGATTATTGATCATCTTGTTTGACTAGTATTTCAACTGAAGAATGGGAATACCGTTGCTGCCATGCAGGTGGTACTGGATCAACCTTTTGTTATGGGTGTCAACATCTTGTGGGAATCTCAAGTTGAGTATTACATGGGCCACAATGATTGGCTCCAAGTTTCCATGCTCTTGGAGGTTATTCCATTGTATGCATTATCTACAGGGACGTTAAGCGTCAGATTGGACTCCTTACCGCCCCCTACCATCGTTGAATATGCCCAGGACATTTCCGAGTGTGATAATTATACATGTTCCCTTGATGACCTAGATGCTGTCTGCCTGACTATTCCGAAGATTAAAATTTTCAGGTTTCCAATCAATGATATGTGCTCCATCTGGCTAAGAATGCTCATGGAACAGCAGCTAGCTAAGAAATTTATTTTTCTGAGGGATTACTGGGTTGGTACTGCAGAGATTGTACCCCTTCTGGCACGTTCAGGTTTCTTGCTTGACATTCACGACACTTCATCTTTGGAGGAGTCGACCGAAAGCTCAACTGATTTGGTGCTCTCCGTTATTGATGCTGAAACCCATCCAGATACTGTTCTTGCCTTGCATAAATGTTTTGTGCAATTCTGTGCACAGTATAACCTGGTGAATCTCTTAGATATTTACCTGGACCACCACAAGTTGGCTGTAGACCAGGATTCTCTTTCGTTGGTGCAGGATGCAGTGGTAAGTTGCTTCATCCATTTTGCAACAACTTTCCTGCAAACATGTTTAACTACAGTGATATGGGAACCAGACTCTTCCATTCTACTTTTCGAAGATTAAGTAATGCTTTTGCAGTTACTGGTGACGTTTTTCTTTTAATTTGAGCTAAAATATCTTTAGAACTAATGGAGTTGTGGATACGTGATGCAATCAACTTGCAACTAGCCTAACTCTGTAAACTATTTTGTAGAGTTTTTGGGTTGTAAGTGGCTGCTAAAACCATGATTTACTCAAGTGATGTAATGTATAAATTGTTTCTTTAATCATCATTGCTGAACGTTGTTTCATTGTTTTACGCGGCAAATTAGCTGCGAAATTTGAAAATGTAGTGTTGTAACAGAAAATTGTCAAAATAATTTCCAGAAGCGATGCTGTGTCTCATTTGCGTGAAGAATTTGTATTGAAACTAAGCTTTTTGATAACTTGGTGTCAGCTTTAGAGAATTTTGGGTTTCAAGGATTATAATCTTATGCTGGTTTGTTTTTTCCAATTCAAATTATTGCTTGGTGTTGATACATTCTCTGTCGAATTTTTCTGCATGGACCCCCCGACCAGAAAAGTACCGTTGGTGAGCATATGTAATGTGAAGTAATTTTTGGGTCAAGTGTAGTTGTAGCTTCAAATTATTGTCAGTTATTGTCATTGATTGTATATCTACTGTATGATTTGGTCCATAGGGTGACAATCTGTGGGCGAAATGGCTTCTGTTTCAAAGGGTGAAGGGCAAAGAATATGAAGCATCATTCTGTAATGCCCGGGCAGTAGTATTGCATAATTTTCTTCCAGGTAACAGTATGGGTGAACTAGATGTTGATGACATGATGCAAACTGTTGATGATATTGCGGAAGGAGCAGGAGAAATGGCAGCTTTAGCAACCTTGATGTATGCTCCTATTCCAATTCAAGAGTGTCTAAGTAGTGGAAGCATTAACAGGCAGTTCAGTTCTGGTCAGTGCACTCTGGAGAACCTTAGACCTGCTCTTCAATGCTTCCCTACGCTATGGCGCACTCTACTAGCAGCTTGTTTTGGACAAGACCCTACTTGTCCCATGTTTAGTTCTAAACCTAAAGGTGGGCTTTCTTCTTCTCTTTTGTTCCATTCTAGTCTTGCAATAGAAGAGTGATTTCCAAAAGCAATGGACAAGCAAAAAGAATATATATATATATATATATATATATTGTTATTTTCATGTGTACCTGCAAATGTGGTAACTTAACTTTGTACCTTTTGTTGGGACTCCATTATGGATGTGCAAAGAGAATTATTAAAGTGTCTTCTCTGTAAATGCACTCTTTGATGTCTGTTTTTCTTTTCGAATTGTTTGAGTTGCTTATAAATGCTTTTGTTTTCTAACCTTTTATTATTTGATGAACAGTGACTGGTTATTCTGATTTGATGGACTATCTGTATTGGCGGGAGAGTATATTCTTTTCTTCTGCATGTGATACTTCACTGCTTCAGATGCTTCCTGGCTGGTTTTCCAAGGCTGTTCGCAGATTGGTTCAACTTTATGTGCAAGTTAGTGGGTTATTGGCTGAACTACATTCGATTCAGTATATCTTATGTTGTCACATCTTCCTGCTTTGTGCTTTAAAAGTTATCTTGTTGTATAATGTGATGCATGTACTTAAAAACTGGAACAAGTACTTCTCATCTACTGGTTCAATTATGTATTTTGTTGTTTAATAGCAAATCGGTTAACTATTTTGGTACCACAATTACCATAGCATGATTTATATTGTCTCCTTGTAGGGCCCTCTTGGTTGGCAATCTGTGGCAGATTTTCGGATGGGAGAATACTTTTGGTCTAGGGATCTTGATTCTTTAGTTGATTCAGGTGATCATTCTGAGATTAGTGCCATATCATGGGAAACGGCAATCCAGAAACACATTGAAGAAGAGCTTTGTGCTTCAGCCTCAGAGGTCAGAGGATCTCATCCATTCCTTGTTTCTATCTTTATATGTTAACCCGACTTTTACATTCTCCAATCTGCATTAAGTTGTTGGGGTCTCATCCAAGGTACCCTGTTACTTAAATGATGTGCTGATACATTATCTTGTTTAAGACTTGCTTCTGAAGCAGTATTATAACCTTGGCCTCTACTTCAAGTCTTCAAGTGGTTTTGAGATGAACGTGCTTGGGCCAAACCTTAGTTTGTTTCTGAGCTCTTCTGCATCTATGTTGCTTTTTCCACAGGACACTGGCCTTGGCCTTGAGCACCACTTGCATCGTGGGCGTGCACTGGCTGCCTTTAATCATCTTCTCGCTTTGAGAGTTGAAAGGTGGAATAAAGACAAAAGAGGGTCATCTGGAACTTCTGCTCCTGCACAAACCAATGTGCAGTCAGATGTCCACGTACTCCTGTCACCTATAACTCAGGATGAAGAGTCTCTTCTCTCGGAGGTAAGAATTCCTGAAGACTTCTATCAAAAATTGAAAAGCATAGCAGTATATTTGATTTTGATCTGAGCCTCTTTTGCAGTATTTATTTCTGTTCTTTGATATTTCCCCTTTTTTCCTGTTTCCATTTTCTCATGTGATATTTAATATCATTTTTCACTAACTTTGCCATTTATAATCCCAGCAAAAGGGTAGGGTTAGACTAGAAAGACTTGGAAAGAAACTTTGGAAATGATATGAATTGTTGAATTTTAGATGAAGATATGTGTTGACATATAATACATACAGTGAATCCTACTTATCGGGATAAAGGCTTGTCGCAGCAATTTCTTTCTGGTGCGCCCACCTTACCGTTTATAGTTACCAAAGGAAGAGCTGAATTTTTTGTATAGACTTCCTTACTTTACCCTTTCTAGAGAGAATCATGCCTTAGGTTTTGTATTAGTGACTACTTCATGACAGTCTGATGCTAGCTCCTGGGGTATTGGGGAAACTATCGAGAATATTTAAGGGTTCTTAAGATCTGCTCTGGAAGTTAGTGTAAGTTCCCTCAGCATGTTACTGCTTTATTGTGGACCATTTTAACCTTGGGTGAGAAGAGAGAGTCTTGTGCTTCCTAGCAGAGCTTTTTCATTCTTTGATCTGTGTATCTGCCTTTGAAGGATTAAAATAAAACAGTTTCAGCTGTTCTCTTTCTTGGAAGCACACATTGTCTCCCCAAAAAAAATAATAGGCTTTCTTGAGAATTAACTTGTATCTATATGAAAATGTGCACACCATGATATAGGTTGTCACTTATGTATGTAGGTTGTTCCCTTGGCAATTGTGCATTTCAAGGATTCTGTGTTAGTGGCCTCATGCGCTCTTCTTTTGGAATTGTGCGGTTTGTCTGCCAGTATCCTCCAAATCGATATTGCTGCTTTGAGAAGGATTTCTTCTTTCTACGAATCTGATGAACACAAAAAACCCACAATACAACTGCCCCCAAAAGGTTCTGCATTGCATACAAAATCCAGGGAAGGTGATATTGCAGAATCTCTTGCGCGGGCATTGGCTGATGATTATCTTCGAAATAGTTATTCCAATAGCGAAAAGCAAAGAGATCCGAAGAATAGTGGCACTGCAAAATTTCCATCAAGAGCTCTCATTATGGTCCTGCAACATCTGGAAAGAGCTAGTCTCCCAGCTTTTGCTGATGGAATGACATGTGGTTCTTGGTTGATGACTGGCAGTGGTGATGGAGCTGAGTTAAGGTCTCAGCAAAAGGCTGCAAGCCAGAAGTGGAATCTAGTCACGGTTTTTTGTCAGTTACATCAGATGCCATTGAGCACCAAATATCTAGCTTGCTTAGCGAGAGATAATGATTGGGTATTCTTTTATTATGGTCATTGGCTTTCATCACCTGAAGGTTCCCTCTTTTGAATTGAAATCTCTTAACGTACCTATTTTATGGTCAGGTTGGGTTTTTGTCTGAAGCTCAAGTTGGAGGATTTCCTATTGAAACAGTTATAGATGTTGTAAGCATCATGCCCCTTTTGATTTCTGTTTAATTTCTTTTATAAACATCTGTGCTTTGTTTTTTCTCATAAATATCGAGCCATGATATTGATATCTGATTTTTTCAGGCATCAAAGGAATTCAACGACCCCCGCTTGAAAGGCCATTTGTTAACAGTTCTAAAAAGCATGCAGTCAAGGAAACAAGTTGGATCTGCAGCAAATTCAGATGCTACAACTTTGCAGTTCGAAGCTCCCGTCACCAGCGAAAACCTTTATGGGTCTGTTGAATTGTTTGGAATCATAGCAGAGTGTGAAAAACTCGAAAATCCAGGTGAAGCTCTTCTTTTAAAGGCCAAAAACTTGAGCTGGTCAATTTTGGCAATGGTTGCAGCTTGTTTTCCAGATGTTTCCCCCTTGTCTTGCCTAGCAGTATGGCTGGAGATAACTGCGGCACGGTTGGTATCGTTTAATTGTCTTCTGTTATATGTTCATCTGTGCAATATTTTTATTTGCATTCAGACACATTCTATATATTGCTTGTTCAGACTGTAAAATTTGGCTCAGGGGGAAAACTTTTCTAAGGAACAATTTATTGTGATTTTTGTATTTGCTGGAACTAATAGAATTCCTCATGATGCATTTTCTTCTGAGCTTTGTTCATATGCAAATGATTCCTGCTGTTTTTTCTTTCTTTTCTTTGGTTTTTCTTTTTTTGAAATTTCTTCTTTTTTTTTATATATTCAGGGAGACTTCTGCTATTAAAGTTAATGACGTTGCTACCCAGATTGCAAGCAATGTTGGTGCAGCTGTGGAGGCTACTAATGTCCTGCCAGCGACTGCTAGGGCCATAACCTTTCACTATAATAGGAGGACTCCAAAAAGGCGGCGGCTTATGGAGCCTGCCCTTGGTAGTTCAGCACCATCAAATGCATTTGATGCATCGTCTACTTCTGGTTCCCTTAAGTTTGAAGAAGATATTGCTGAAGAGGAAAGGGAAAATGGCACGGATAAAGATTTGTCTAGTTCTGATGAAGTAGTTGATTCTTTGTCCAGAATGGTAGCAGTGCTATGTGAACAACAACTATTTCTTCCCCTGCTGAGGGCATTTGAAATTTTCCTTCCATCGTGTTCTCTCTTGCCTTTTATTCGTGCACTACAGGTATTCCTAAGTTTGGAAAATCTCCAGTATCTTGTTTTCCTTTTATGAGATGATTTTTATCTATATTCCACTTAACTTTAGTGCGTGCAAATAAATATCTGCATTGTTACATCTTGGCAGTTCCCCCATATCTAAATATCAGTAGCTGATCCCTCCCTATCTAGAATTCCCTTGCTATATCACTGACTTTTTTCTTCCCAGATGTGAGAAACGGTAACAGCAACGACGGCAATGTGCTGTGAACTTCCTTGCTTGACTGTGTCCAGATACCCAGCCTGACAGCCATCTCTTGTATTCTCCTGCGAATTTTGAATGTCCAACCACTTATTATTTTTAGTAAAGAACACCCGAAACATAAGTACACTAAAAAGCTCTCGGGTTTCCTCTTGCTCAAACAACATTCATTTTGGCTCAATTCCTGGAATGTCATCTTGAGCATGTCTCCACATAATTCATTCAATGAATCAATGCTTTTCACCTTCCCCACCTTCTGTTATGGGGAACAACCTAGCCACCACCCGGACGCTTCCATTTTATTAATCCTCATCCAAATGTATTTTTTAAATGGTATTTTTGGGGTGTATTGAATGGTTCTTGAGTATCGAATGTCTTTCTGCTCTTCAGGCCTGCTCTTAGAACCACTCATAGGAAATGAATGTCGACAGTTCTTTCAGTTATGTGATAGGGGTATTTTATGGAAGAATCTTTGCAGTTGATTATTGGCACTGAAGTACAATTATTGATACTTTCATGCAATATAATCCTCTTTTAACATGGAAAACATTTTCGGAAGTGGTTCCTTAGAAAGCATATTTGTCAGTGAATAACTTTTTTAGAATTTTATGGAGCTTCTCCTGTACGCCATGCAACTTGCAAACTAGTTGATCCTCCTTTCATTTGGTTCTTAGGCAGCTTTGTTTTCATGTACAGGCCTTTGCACAAATGCGTCTTTCAGAAGCTTCAGCACATCTTGGGTCCTTCTCTGTCAGAATTAAGGAAGAACAGCTCCATGCACAAACAAACATCATGAAAGAAGGGCCGACAACAAATTTGTGGACAAGGTCCACTTCTGTAAAAGCTGCTGATGCTATGCTTTTAACATGCCCATCACCTTACGAGAAAAGATGTTTATTGCAGCTGCTTGCTTCAACTGATTTTGGTGGTGATGGATCCATATCAACGTATTACCAGCGACTTTATTGGAAAATTAATTTGGCTGAACCATCACTACGCAAAGATGATGGTCTTCACCTTGGAAATGAAACATTAAATGATGATTCACTTCTAACAGCGTTAATCAGAAACGGTTATTGGGAACAGGCACGTAACTGGGCCAGGCAGTTGGAAGCAAGTGGTGGATCTTGGAAGTCTATTGTACACCATGTTACTGAAATGCAGGTATTTGATACTTTTCGTACTGTTTCCATTATTAGTATTTTCAATCTTCTCTTTGGATGTTCTCTTGTAGTTTCCAACTGAGGTTGTTGCTCTGTTGTACTTTGATGTTGCAGCATGAGTCACTAGTCAGTTAAACTTCTAGACACTTAATTTCATGCATCATATTGTAGAGCTGTTTTATCCTGCCATGCCTGTAAAATTGATCTTTTAGTTTTTCATTGTTACAATTCAGATATTTTCTAGTAAACCACGTAGAATTTAAAAGGAATCAACTCCTTTGGAGCAGAAAATTTCAAAAATAGAGTATTTCAAAATTTCCGTAAATGTTCACAACAGGGGGCTTAAAATGCATTTGGTAGTGAACTTTATATGGGGATGGGAACATGTCTGAAGTACTAATTTGCTGAAGAACTGGTGTCGCTGACGATGTGCTATTTCAAGCGTATTATGAACAAATTTGTTAAATTCCTGAGTTATAATTGCTGGCAGCTTCTTGTAGTGAGGCAATTTGTAAACTGTCGACATTCCTTCCTGTTATTGTTCGTGACATTTTTTACTATTGTCTTTCCAATTTATTAGTCAACCTAGGATCTATTTTACCACTCATTCCCTTCCTCACTTGCAGACATTTGAATGTCTTTTACTAGTACTGTTTACTTCACATTGTTGTAGAACATGATTGCTTTTTGTTAATTCTTTTATAAACTGAGATTGTGCCTTGTTGGGAGGCTGCTAGTTAGTTTTACCAGCAGATTTTTAATGTTTTTCCTTGCACACATGCATCTAGGCTGAATCAATGGTTGCAGAGTGGAAGGAGTTCCTTTGGGATGTCCCAGAAGAAAGGGTTGCTTTATGGGATCATTGTCATACACTCTTTATCAGATATTCTTTCCCGGCATCACAGGTATGAATATACTTACCTCATTTCTTACCTAAGAGCCTGGGAAATTTGGTGGCCTTTACAATATTATCTCAATTGTAATGTGCACAAGGGCGAACAAATTTATTGCACATTTATCAGTTTGGATGTGACTGCTCGGATGGTGATTTGTTCTGTTATTCGTCTGCCAGGCAGGGTTGTTTTTTTTGAAGCATGCGGAGGCAGTAGAGAAAGATCTTCCAGCGAGAGAGCTTCACCAACTGTTGCTGCTCTCTTTGCAATGGTTGAGTGGGACTATCACTCAGTCTAGTCAGTAAGTTTGTTTCTTTTTCAACAATACTGAACCTGTACCTTTGTCTCTCGGAAAAATATTCACTTATGGAACCTATTTTCCAGGGCATGTCCTTTAAACATTCTGCGTGAGATTGAGACTAAAGTGTGGCTTCTAGCAGTTGAGTCGGAAGCTCAGGTTAAAGGTGATGGAGAACCTATCATGAGCGCCTTAGGTCGTGAACCCGGGACCGGGAAGTGCTCTAACATTGTAGATCATACTGCAGATGTTATTTCAAAGATAGACACTCATATGAACTCTTTGAGGGTGAGGACCGCAGAAAGGAGTGACATTAGGGAAAATAATCAGGCTCCGTTGAAGAACTCCCAAATCTTAGTAGACTCAAATGTGTCAGCTACTACAGCAGGGAACACAAAGATGAAAAGGAGACAAAAAGGCTTTGTATCATCCAGGAAGCCTGTAATTGATGTTCTGGATAAGGCTAGTGAGTCTGAAGGTATTAGTATGAGAGATGATTCACATTTGGTTGATGACAATGGTAAATTTGAAGCAATCCTTTCAAGATGTGAGGAAAGAGTTGGATCTGCAGGCCTAGAAAGGGCCGTTCTTTCATTGATGGAGTTTGGTCAAATTTCAGCTGCAAGGCAGCTCCAATATAAACTGTCTCCAGGTCAGACTCCATCAGAGTTTGTAATCCTTGATGCTGCCTTAAAGCTGGCTTCTATGTCAGCTCCAAACAGTAAGGTAGCTGTCCCGTTGTTGGACGATGAAGTGCGTTCTGTTCTAAATTCTTGCAATCTTCTTGCGGAGTACAGCCAGATTGACCCCTTAGAGGTATGGATTTATTATAATCTCTGTTCCTTGTTATGGCTAATTCTTCTTTCTTTTTTACCTTTCCTTTTCTATTTAATAATCTTTGGGGAGATGCGACTCTTAAGATGAGACAGTGAGAGAAACATGCTTAAGTTTGTTTGAAGTAGTGAATAGGACACCTTTTACATGCATCAGTGCATAGTAGTGGAGTGAAGGTTTAGTAGTCAGTCCGATTTCTTTTTCTTTGCTGTGTCCAGCTGTTATTAGAATTTATTTGCTGAATCCATCTGATTGTTTTTGTTTGAGATAGGTATTGGAGGGTCTTTCAGCCATCCTTAAAGAAGGCAGGGGGCGAGGACTGTGTAAGAGAATTATATCTGTTGTCAAGGCTGCAAATGTTCTAGGTCTCTCATTTTCAGAAGCTTTCAACAAGCAGCCTATCGAACTGTTACAGCTACTTACTCTCAAGGCACAAGAATCGTTGGAGGAGGCAAATTTGCTTGTGGCGACCCATCCTATGCCACCTTCAAGTATTGCTCAAGTTCTTGCAGAATCCTTTCAGAAGGTATGCGCTTTTGTTCACCGTTTATCATGACTGAAGGAAAATACTCCTTAAACATCGTTGGATTAGATTTGCTTCTCTGGGAAATGCTGCAGCGCTTCTCAATTTCCTGAAGTTAGAGTAGCTAACCTCATGCGTAGTTGTTTCTCCAGACATAATTCAGTCATGAACTTGTTCTTGAATTTGAGATCCCAATGTTTCCTGGTTATTGAACATTTTCAAACTGGAAGTTTGTATTAATTTAAGTTACATACCTTAAAATAGGGTTTATTAGCTGCACATCGTGGCGGATATATGGATTCTCAAAAGGAGGAAGGACCAGCTCCTCTACTGTGGAGGTTTTCTGACTTCTTGAAGTGGGCAGAGCTTTGTCCATCAGAATCAGAAATTGGTCACGCGTTAATGAAATCGGTGATTACTGGACAAGAAATACCACATGCATGTGAGGTATTGTTTCTTTCTCTTCTGTAATGATGTTGAATTTGAAGTATCAATCCTGAGCTACTTACTCTGACAATGTTCCCATCTACAAACAACATTTCGTGGGTTCAGTCAGGAAACATTCAGCTCCCGGTGATCCTAGTTATTTATATTTGTGCCTTCGTTTGCTATTTCCTTCCCTTTGGAACTCAGTCACATATACGGTTCAGGAGAAGGAAAAGCTTAAGTATTGTTATTCTCTGTTCTGTCCCAGCACACATTTTACTTCATTTGAGTCTTAGAGTATTGCTAACTGCTGTTATTGCTCCAGTTGATGCAATATGTAACAATAATCTGATATAGTTCAGAGTCTTGTGACCTGATATACAGTTCATCTTGGGACAAGTTTTTAGTTGTTGCTATTAATTATTCCTTAATAATTGAAACAAAGAAACAGTATCTATAATCCTTGTCTCACAGTGCATGTCGTTAAAACAATTTAAATCTTGAAGGTTTGATTTTATATGTTTAGAATTAAAATATCTGATGTGTGCATTCACAAATATCTCGATTGTTTATTTTGCCTGTAAGTTTTACGACGATTGAACTAGTGTTGGCAGTCTTGTCATCTGATAGTATGCCTATTTTGTTCTGGTTCAAGGCAAGGTGAATCTTGTTTGAGATGCCATTTGTAAATATTGGAATGCGGCTCTAGGTGTGCTAGTTCTGATGGTTTTCCTTTTTTCCTGGAAACTAATGATTCAGGTTGAACTTCTGATACTGTCCCATCATTTCTACAAGTCATCAGCATGTCTAGATGGAGTTGATGTTCTTGTAGCTCTTGCAGCTACCAGAGTGGAAGCTTATGTATCTGAGGGTGATTTCACATGCTTGGCTCGCTTGATTACAGGAGTGGGAAATTTTCATGCATTGAATTTCATTCTTGGGATTCTGATTGAGAATGGTCAACTTGACCTTCTGCTTCAAAAATTTTCTGCTGCTGCAGATGCCAATGCTGGCACTGCTGAGGCAGTCAGAGGATTTCGAATGGCTGTTCTTACTTCACTTCAGCAATTCAACCCGGAGGATCTTGATGCATTTGCTCTGGTAATTATTTAACTTTCCAATGTATAAGATGGTTATTTGCAGACAGTAGAATCATTTTAGTATCCTCTTATCGATTTGAGAATACTGAGTATTCTTTCTTGTTGTTTCCTTTTGATGAGACCATTAAGGAACATCCTTAGCGACCATATCCTTTGTTTGTGCTTATATGAGCTCATTCATCTTCCTTCAGGTTTATAATCACTTTGACATGAAACATGAAACTGCTGCTCTTCTGGAGTCACGGGCAGAGCAATCATCTCAACAGTGGTTCCTCCGGTATGACAGGGATCAGACAGATGACCTCCTTGAGTCCATGCGTTATTTCATTGAAGCAGCTGAGGTTCACTCTTCTATTGATGCTGGCAACAAAACACGGAAAGCTTGTGCTCAGGCATCTCTCGTCTCTCTTCAGATTCGAATGCCCGACTTGCAATGGCTTAATCTTTCTGAAACCAATGCTCGGCGAGCGCTTGTTGAACAATCTCGTTTTCAGGAGGCACTAGTTGTTGCTGAAGCATATGGTCTGAACCAGCCTAGTGAGTGGGCCCTAGTACTTTGGAACCAAATGCTCAAACCAGAACTTACTGAACAGTTTGTGGCAGAGTTTGTTGCTGTACTCCCTCTCCAGCCTTCAATGCTCATTGAGCTGGCAAGATTTTACAGGGCAGAGGTTGCAGCGAGGGGGGATCAGTCCCAGTTTTCAGTGTGGTTGACTGGTGGTGGACTCCCAGCTGAATGGGCGAAGTACCTTGGTAGATCATTCAGGTGTTTGCTTAGAAGAACTAGGGACTTGAGATTGCAGCTACAGTTGGCTACACTTGCCACTGGATTTTCTGATGTTATCGATTCATGTAACAAGGCATTGGATAAGGTCCCTGACAATGCAGGCCCACTTGTTCTGAGGAAAGGGCACGGCGGAGCTTACCTTCCTTTGATGTGAAATTTTGCGCATGAATGATATCATCCATTCTCGGCGCTTGCAAATATAATTTTCCACCATTTGCCGCCGACTGATATCATGTAAGAACGTTGATAGCCTTTAAAGCGAACTTCCATATTCATACCAGAAAAAGTGTTATATGAAATTTGACTTTAGGTTGCTAGAGTCTCATCATTGGAGATCTTGTGAATACTCTGCGGTATCATCATTGGTTTATTTTTTGACCCCAAAGCTTTTTTCTTACATGGGGGAGCCATCTTAAATGAGTGTACCAGTAAAATTTTGTCCCGTGAGAGATGTATATGATTAGATACTGTACAATATGTATATATATACATCGGCTGATCTGTTTTGTTTTGATCATCTGTTGCTTGTTTTACTAATTTCACCATTCTTGCGATTGCCAGTTACTTGATCAATTGTTTTTAAGTTTCTGTCCGACTTCAGGATGAATTTTTTGCTTTGGTGAAGAATTTGAACGAATTGGTAGGCTATGTTTATCATTTACTATGTGATCTTTCGAGATTTGCATCAAGGAATATTTTAGGAACGGACTGAACTTTTGAAGAACTTTTTAAACGAGCAATATCTTGCGCGGCAAATGTGCATCCCCAGAGGCCAAATATTTGAAGTTTTATCATGGTATCCTTTTCTTTGTAAGCCAAAATCAATCCGCAGAGGCCAAATATTTGAAGTTGTATCATGGTACCCTATTCTTTGTTAGCCAAAAATCAAATCTCGCGCCTCAGAGCATGATGAATATTTTCCAAATCATGAAAATGCTAATAATGGGTAGATTATGATATTCAAGCAGAAATGTATGATGTGTGGTACTAGGTACTAATGAAATAACAATCTTATTTTACTCTTTTCAAAAAAAAAAAAAAATCTTATTTTACAATTCCCCACCCCCCTCAGGTCCGGCCTCGATCAATTGAATAGGTGACAGCAGGCGGAAGCAGTCCTCGTAAAGCTGGCAGATGTATAAATATCTGAGGCATTAGTAACATCCAAAGGAGAAAAAAGGGGAAAAGAACTGCATTTTGCCATCAGTATAAATGTTGAATATATATAGGATTTGATCAGTATAAATGACATCCCTTGGGCTTCCATTATATTCCTCGCATTCTCGATTCGTCTCCTGATTCACAACAGTGGTGCCAGTTCAACTAACTCAAGGGCACATTGAATTGGCCATCTCCCAAAGGGATCTTCTTAAGCAACTTGCAATGCCTTAGAACCAAAAGCTTAAGAGCCAACCAGCCAATGTTTAAGACCAGAAAACACCTCATCTTTTTGGAACCCACTTTGGCCCTTGAAAATCCCTTAGTTTTTCAGGAAACCTTGCTGATTGAAACTATACTTCCACGCACAATTTCTCTCAACATATCCCCTGGCCTAAGTTTGGCTTCCATAAATTGCATAGCTTTTGGACCTCAATGTCACCATGTACCCATGAGAATTACGTCTAGACAAGAGACTGGGTTGGCAGAAACAACTGAAACAATTGTCAGGGTTAGTCCTCCACATTTTTTAGCTATTTGTTTTACTACTTCCACCAATTCTGTGGGACAACTTTGCTTTCCAGACAACTTTTTCTCCAACAGTTCACAACATTGATTTTCATTTAAAGAGTTAATATGAAAGCAAAGGGTGGTGTGGTTTATTTGAACCATTCATAACATTTGTGTTGTTTTGCTTGAAAATTGAATCTCCTCACAACTGGTTAATAGTATTCGACTCCCCACTGAAAATCAATGTTGACACCTGACGATTGCTGATAGTATTCGACTCCCCACAGGTGTCGAATACTATTAATCAATGTTGACAACTGGTTAATAGTATTCGACTCCCCACTGTTGTTTCAGGTGTCTGATTGCTGATAGCAAATCGTCAGTGTCTGTATGAGATAGGGAAATAGCTACCTTTCCCACTTGCAGGGCACAGGTGATGCGCCCTTTCTTACCTCCCAATTGGCAGAGAGGATGTCACTTGCTGGATTGCATTGTTGTAATGAGAATTCAGGTGAATGATCAGAGATGAATCCACCATATCCAGTTCACGCAGGAAGCTCTCCAGACTAGAGTTGACACCATCAGTATCACGTACGACTTGTTTCCAATCCGGCCTCGCCTGTCAGAATCGGCGGAACATCTTTTCTTATTCCTAAAACGAGTTTGATAATTTAGGTATACTGGTTGATTTGATTCAATTCCTGAAAATTCTTCATCGAATGGTGCATGTTAACCGAGAAGTTCAAGGTTTCGCATCTTCGGGTTGGCAATTGACATCAGATTTCCGTTAGGCTTGGTAATTACTGCTGAGCATCTATTGTTGTTTGCCTAATGGATTGTCGTCACTTGTTGTTTGCATTGTAATTAAGGCGTCAACAATTTTAGTGAGTTCTAAGTGATTTCATTTGTACAATGTCTTTTCATTTGAGGAGAAGGGAAGTTTATTAATGTGCAAAGTGAAAAAGGCTATGAATCCCAATGGTGAACTGAAGAATATAAATACTTGATTTCATCATGTAGGACGTGACCGATTAACTTTTATACTCATACTCATATTTCTAACGTCTGAACAAAATGTCCATCAACATACGCATCTAAACAAATCAGGTTCCTACTCCTTGGAACTGGAATTTTTATCATTAGAACGATTCTGAGCCATCAAACGCTTCGTGCTCTCGAGGACTCCAAAGAATATTGAACCGCCAATGCCTATCCATAACACTCTTGGTCCAATGCCCTGCAATATCAAACATGGAACCGACAAATTTAAATCATCAATGCCCACTTTCATCGATAAAAGTAACTAATTCTCATTACAAATACAAATATCAAACAATTTAGTGCATCAAAGACATTTTTCAAGATGGCTCACATCTCCCAAATAGAGGTCCTGAGCAAGTAGCTCATGCTGAAGCATAAAACACATATTGGTAAAAAGTAATCTAATTCTAAAGTGAGTAGCGCTCAATATTTGCATTTCTAAAATGAAAATAACAAAGTTACAAAAGTTCCTCCCAGAAGTGTAAATGACAAAAGGAGAAAGAACCAAAATTCTACGATTTGACTAAGGTTCAAAAGAATAATCTCAAAAGCAGACAGCTAATTTTTTTAAAAGTTTGTATAATGATCCCAAGCTCCCGTACTGTAAAATTAGGGTTAGACAGTGAAGAGCCCATTCATATAAGGTGTAAAGAAAACATTGAAGTATTATAAAAGTTTATATAATGCTCACATCAGGACGTCTAACTTAGAAGATACTTATGATCAATGGGACAGATGTCCAACTATGTTGGTTGCCTGTCTCTCTCCCTTAGAAAAATGTTTCTCATCACAGTCAAAACCCATTATGGAGTACAAAGAAATTTTAAGGCGAGAAAGAGAAAACAGGAGGAAAAGAACATCTATCTTCCTTGTTCATTTTGCATCCAACACTGGCAAGAATTTTGAAAGGACTAAAAAATGGAGAACAAAGGGAGTAGAGAACAGAGGGAATCTTTTACATGATAACAAAAACGCGGTAACAAACAGGGAGGACCTTATGGAAATTCAATAAACTGTACCTTCAAAAGAGCTGGCAGCCCTTCTTCTCTTATTATAGTTTGCACGCAATCAAATATGCCTTTGTACTGGTTTGCTGATCCCTGTATAATAGCAAGACTAATGATGTACCACAGTGGCTAAAAAGGGAAACATACCGAGCCAATAATTCCAGAAGCCACTCTGTTGATTTTTTGGAAAGATCCTTACAAGATCGACCAAAAGAGAGTGCGAAAGCAAATAAGGAACAAAAAGGGTTTCGCTGCAAAATACCTGTACCATCAACCTTGTCTTGATCACGTCAAGTGGAGTTGTTATTGCTCCAGTTAGTGCACCTACAGATACAAAAGTTGCAGTAAAATTTGTTATGGGCTATTCACAACTACTAATCTACAGCCACAAATCAAAAAGAAAGCATCTACACACTTTTGGTCCCATGTCCTTTTTTTTTTTTCTTTGAAAAGGGGTCTCATATCAGAAACTATTAAAAAGACATTATTCATTTATAAATTAAAATTAGATCATGTGTATTGATAAATCAAAATGGTGGTTTATGATCCAAATCACACAGGCCCACTTAGTAAGAAGAAGGCTTTGATACTGCTCCATAACCACTACTTACAAGATCTCTTATTAGTAGCACATTGTAACAAAAAGAAACGGGAATAAAATCCTGTAAATAGGGCGCAAACTCTTCATCACTTTAAGATACAGAAATATCAATTGGATTAAATTGATGACAAAAAAGAGTGAACACTATGACAGAGTTGAAGTACAAACAAGGTATTCTTATTCCTCAGGAAATTCTATCACATTGAGGAACTTAATAGATGAATGAAAGAAGAGGCATACCAATAGCTGATTATCTATAGAAACTTCATAAATCACACTTAAAGAGAGACCTTTCAAACATCTCAAGATCCGTTGCACTTTTGCAGAAGTGAAGCCGGAAGATGGCTCAGAGTACAAAAAGTGGAGATAATCACAAAAGAAAATAGATGGGAATAGAGGATGTAAATGTACCCGCAAAAGCTCCAATAGCGGCATTCTCAGGATCTTTCAATTCCCTCTTTGCCTGATAATAAGCACACGAGGAAACCAGATTGTCAAAGTCGGTATAACATTGAGCAATTCAACTATATCCCTCATGAATTGTCTATCCACATATATACCAAAGGCCATTTTTAAAGTGCCAAAAAAAAAAGGAAAGAAATAAAGAAAGAATTCCCAGAACTGATTTGCAGGAAAAGTCAAGAGAACCAATTTCGCCAATTGAAAAGTACTTTGCAAGTCCACAGTCTGAAATACTTACTGCCAGCTTGTAACCTATTCTAAGTTGCTCATAGATGCAGAACTGGATTGCATCAAATGGCAGATCCCTCAGTAAAAAAGATCCATAGCCCTGCAAAGAGAACAGACTATTGAGATTAAACACCATCACAACTAGCTCAAACAAACTGAAAGTTGAATGCTAGAAACTTCAGTCTTAATTCGTTGATTTAAGGATTTATAGCACTGAAACAGAGATGAGTGGGAAATCATTGTTTAGAACCCATACGTACAGAAACCTGTCATAAGATATCAAATGGGTAACCAATAACCCAAACAATTAAATAGAATTAACTTGTTATTTTACCGCATAAAGTCCCTTGAAACCTTCTTTGGAAACAATGAGACGAACAGCATCAGGTGCAGAAGCAAATTGTCTTGTTTGCATCCGTTGCTTGACAACCTGCAGCAATAAGCCAAATTGCAGAAATAAACCTAGAACAGAAATTCTAAAAAACACAAAGGAAAATGAATAGAGATCCAGTAGCTTGAAGCTACCTCAGTTGGAACGCGAATTAGTGAAGCAGCTAGTCCTCCTATGGCACCAGCTGTCTACAAAAGATGTGGCACCAGATAACAAACCAGTTAAATTAAGTATGAATGTAAAGACACAGGAAGCAACAACATTGACATCAACGAATAAAATGGCCAAAGAAATATGGTAATGAGACCTGTGAATGACAAAAATATTTATAACATCATAAATGCTTAGCCGAGAAAAAGGCAACAATGATGTATTCTCACCAGGTGAGCAAAAGCACTAAACTTCTCAGGGAAAAACTTCAATAATTTTTGCTTGGCTGGTTCATATACGCCAACAAAAACAGCTGAGGCCCTGTTGGCAGAAATTTATAACAATACTGTTCAACTGTAATTAGTGCATAATTCGGTGTTACATATTGAAATTCTAGATCACATATGTTCAACACCCCTGTGACAGATGATAAATCTAAATTGAACAAAGCTAAATTTGGTGTAGATTATTTACACAATAGCATAATGTAGCATAACTAGCAATGTCTTGCAATCAAACAAATACCACTATGCATCACTAAATGGAAACTTGCATCTTTTCTTAGAGTGCTATCAATGTAAAACAGTAGTTTTGACTTTCGCTCCCAAAACCCAGGCTCTCAAAAGACTTCTTCACTTGCTAGCAATGATTGCAAACAATGCCCAGAGTTTACAATTGTCAATGCATAATAAATACACTAATGTCCTGCTACCTCCTTTACATATTCGATAGATTTTGCCTTCAGTCAAGAGTTATAATAAGATGTCATATTCTTTGATACTAATGAGTTTGCAAGTTCACATAGATCTTCCCAAACCTGTCCTAGACAAATATATCATAACACCAAAATTGCAAGGTAAAAAAATTCAACTAACCATCAATCACAGGTAGGTGAAATCTGATGTTTCAAACAAAATGCTCTTACTAAAAGAACAAAATTAGGAAAAAGATTAATTCTGGATAATAGCACAGGTACAGCTGAAAAAACAATGGATAACATCATTACACATATTGGCTTGTTGTCATCAAAATTGCTAGAAACTGCAGCAAACAATGTGAAAGGAACTTACGGCAGGACTCCAGCAAGATTACCACCCAATCCGGAATACAGCCCTTTAAAATTTATTTTACCACCTCCATGAGCAGCCTACACAATGCCAAATGAGAATAATTGGATGATCATAGATGAGAAGTATAGAGGATCAAATAGATCCCAAGAATTGGGATGAATAGAGCTCCATTCCTTAGTGAGTCATTTTTTTCCTTCTATGGGCCTCTTTGACAAAAAGCAGTATATATTTAAATTTTTGTTTCATTGTGCTCGGAGGGTGTTGAGATTTAAAATTCCTAATGATCCTTCATGACATCATTTTATTGACCAAGGTGCAAAGAAATAATGCAAAATAATTTTTTTATTATGGCATACTACAAAAGTAAAAATGCATACCTAAAGATAGAAAAGGGAAAACTATCTATTGTGATGCATGCAGTGAACACAAACTTTTCCACACTTCCTCCACGGCCAACAGAATAAGCAACCTCTCAAGCTTAAAACCCATAGTTTCTCTTAAATCAAAATTTAACCACTTATTCGCTGCGGAAAGAACTTTATGTGGGCATGGGATAGATATGGCAACAATGCTGGTCATGGCATGTAATGCATACTTTTAGTCAGCCTATATTGTCGTCACACTAAATTAAACAATGAAACACTAGATATTGTCATTGAATAGGTATGATTGTTATTAATAGTTCACCTGCCTGCAACCGTGTTTTGATTGTATCAATCGGATACAAAGCTGTTTCAACAACAACTCCAGCCGTCCCTCCAGCTACAACCCCATCTGAAAAGATTGCAGGAGAGTAGGAATCACTAACTTTGAAAAACAAGATTTTCTTTTAAGCTAACTGGAAAGGCTATGTCAAATCGATAACAGTCCGGTAAAGAAGAGTGATAGTAAAAGAGATAGAGACCGGTATCAAGTGTAAAAAAGGCTCACATGGTTATCACACAACATCCTTTGCTTAGAATGTCAAGAAAAAGTGAAGGAAATAGAATAGATCTTGAACTCCAGACATATTTACAGATGGAAAACCCAAACAAATAGTTTAGCTTGAATCCTTCCTTCTTGATTACAAAGTTAAAGTTGAAACAAGCTTCTATCTTACCTTTGGGTTTTAAGGGCCTATTAAGTCAAGAAATTTATTTCAGTTGGTACTGAAGAAAGATACAATCAAAACACATTAGGTGAGAATTCATTGGAAGACAACATCTTCTGCATCCCAATCAGAAACTTTTGAGTTGTTTATAGATCCTTTCTAGTATGCCTCATTTCATTCAAGCGTCAAACACTATTAAAGAGGTCAAGTAACTACCACAACAATTTAGATAACATCCGATGGATGTACATCACTGAACAGGGAAAATATAAAGAAAATCATAACCCATATGCTTGTCCCGCATTTTCAACAATAACAGAAAGCTTGTTGGACTGGCAGAATGCAAATTATTCAAAAGTCAAATGTTTGCACAAGCTACGAAAGCAAAACACTCTTAGAAGCATGCACTAAAAAGGAATCGGCATTTTAAAGACGCCACAGAGTGCTTCAGGTTTTCAACTTTCAAGATAAAGTAAACAGGCCTTAATCCAGTTTGCATCTTATGAGCAAGAAACAAAGATGATATTTATGCGTACTCCAAAATACAGTTCAACACTTACATCAGTTAATTCATTGGAGGTGACCAAGAATAATTGTTTGGGCAACCACCAACTAGCAACTCTGTGAACTTTCTTTCACAAAATGATTGTAACTTAGCACAGATGTGAGATAAGGGGATGGCAGAAGAACTGGATTTTATCTCAGCAAAAGGATGGTAATGACCACTAGTCAACCCCCATTCAACTACACATAACACTTAACATGCAAGTTAAAGTATCAGTAGCAATAACCATCAAAATTTGATGCTTACCAACTAATGCACGAAAGAAATCAAACGGCTTCTCTTCTTGTGTACTGATTGAAGAAAAAAATAGTTTGGGTCTGAATTGAAGGTTTCGCCCAAATCCAGTAGTTGTATCTGCAAAACCAGTTACTACCTCAAAATCAAATCATAAAAGACAACCAGGAAGAGATATAATGCAGGAAATCAATCACATTGTGGGAACATATATGTTGCATCATTGAAGTTTGCAAGATTAGCAGGGAATGATTATCTGAACATGAACAAGAAAAAAAAAAAAATCCGAATGACCATTAATATTGTGCAACATACTTCCAGAGACAAATATAATGGCCAAAATAGACTCCATTGACAACTGGCAGTAGCTCAATTCCAATAGTTTCTAGCAGACACAATATTCACGAGCAGTCCTACAATATACACTTGTGATTTCACTCAATCAAATCTCTCTCGCACAATCAGTTCTGAGTCAGTCTTTCAAAAAGAAATCCTTCTGCCACACAGGATCAACTGTAGCTTCAAGAAGATGATCAATCAAGAAGATGATAAAGCACGATAGAGAAAAGAAACATGCCGCTGACATCTAACTCACATTGAAATGATGAACATACCACAAATTTGTTAAGCCAATTCAACTAAGCATTACATAAGATACAGTCCCTGGACATATTTGAATCTTCACAAGTGTAAATCTACCTAATCTGTTTTCTTGTTTTTGTCATTTTTATTTTGATAGCAACACGAAACCAGTAACATTAGAAAAGCACAAAAAGTATGAATTTACCGAGCAATTCACCCAACAAACACAATAGAGCAATGGCGAACACAAGCATGAGCTGAACTAGTAAAATTACGAGGGGGAAAAAAATCCAAAACGCGCAGCAGATAGCATATGATTCTTAGATTTCGGCCATAAAATTGAAAAACGCACTACGTTCAAAACAAAAATTAAAAAATAAAATAAAATGCACTACTTTCGAACAAGTCAATTACCGGAAGAACATTTTCCCAAAAAAAAAAAAAAAGTTTACCGGAAGAAGCAACAGAGTCGCTCTTGGCATTGAAGCATAAAGCCAAAGGTCCCATGGAAGAACAAGCTCTCGCTGTTCCTATAGAAATACAGAACAATAAACCGACGATAACAAAAATAACGAAATACAGAAACAAATTAACAACAAATATCAACAAATTTCGAAGTGGAAAGACTGTGTGTGTGTGTGTGTGAAAAAGGAGAGACGTCTAAGGCTTACCGAAGAGGGCGAGAGAAGGGAAACGGTGAAAGTGTGAAGAAGGAATTGGAGTCCGGCGGGAGAAGTGATGGGAATAGAGAAAGGTGTGGGATAAGAGAAGGGTGAAATTCGGCGTTTAAATACGGTACATATGGTTTTGTGCATTAGTGACTTGTGTACCTTACGGATACAGAGTTGTATATACATTTGTAATAAATTGATTTTTTTTTCTTTTTTTGGAAACAGTAAATTAAAATTCGACACGAATGAGTTGAAGGATAAAAGGAGAAGAAGCGCTCTCTCTCGCGCACGGAAGGAAAGAGATAAGTATTCTTCAGGCACATTCCTACATACACTATGTGGTGCTTCAAGCTGACAGATTCAACAATTCAAGAGATGGTATCAAATAATGTCATTTTACGTACTAGTGGTGGGAGATGGCAGCCGCAGGAAGATTTGCTGGGTGAGTTGGATGGAGTAAGATGGGTTCCGGGGTTCGAAGAACTTTAATCTTGCTCTTCTCAACAAACAGGCCTGGAGGATTCTATAACACATACCTGAATCTGGTTGCTGGCCAGAATTCTAAAAGCAAACTAAAAATTGCTTGGAGAAGCCTTGTAGAGGGACGAAATGTCTTTTGTTTCTTAGGTTTGTTGAAAGCAGATTCAATCAGGTTGTAATACGAAGATTGGCTGGATCGCTGGTTGCGTTACTCTTCCAATTTCCAATGTCACAGTTCTCCAACCATTCTACATCCTTCTTCAACAGCGTCAATATGTTAATTGGCCGCCTTGATTCAGGTTTGTGGAAGCAATATCTAATCAACCACATCTTCTCACCTCCCCCAAGAAGTTGAATGTATTCTATCCATGCTCCCCTCCCTGGTAACCAATCCATAGCAAATAAAATCCTTCTCGTAACGGTCGTTTCAGTGTAAAATCCGGCATACATCACCTTGATGGAATCTTCTACATACACTGCTAACCTTCACCCAACTTCTAACCTGTCATATGAGGATCTTCTGTTTTGGAGAATGCTTTGGAAGTTTCGGTTGCCAGATCGCATTCCCAATTTTTTATGGCATTGTGTCTCCCAAGTCTGGAAAATCTAGGATATTACCCAAATCAATAATGTCCTTTCTACCATGATGCTTCCACAGCTCACATTTTTTTTTTTTTTTGGTGCAATTTTGACTCTCAAGTCCGGACTACAGCTGGACTACGTGATTGCATTTTTGAGATTTCATCAGCCTAGCTAGATGGGATCTTTGGATCAAAAAGGTGATTTTGCGATTTATGATAAAATTGTTGCAGAACTTTTTAGAGTAATCTGCAACTCCCTTTGGTATGCGAGAAACGATTGCCTTTTCGGTGACAAGCAGATATTATTGGAGCTACTATTTTGGCATCAAATTACAATCAACGTCCTAAAGGAATTCCAGTCAGCTAATGGTTCACATGAATCATCATCATCGGCTCTTCGATATATCCTGCAGCCACTTGATCGCTCCAACATTACTACACAATTGCATCTATTATGACGGGGCCATCTCCAGGATACGAATTGTGTTGGCCTTGGCGTATATGTGAGAAATGATTCCGGTGGCTTCCTTTATACGAGAGGTTGTTGTATCACTGAAGTTACTTCGGTAGAAATGGTTGAATTCTTGGCATTACGGGAAGCTCTTAGCATTTTTAAAGATCGTAATTCCTAGAACGTCACAATTATGGGTGATCCTTCAGTTGCAATCCTTACTGTGGTTGGAGAATCAGATTGTTCAATCACTTGTTTACCGGTCCTTTGTGAGATTAGACTTTTATTGATGGAACTTTCTTTTTCCGCATTACTATATTAAAAAATGGTGCAACTCATGTTATAGGTAGCCATTCAAAAGTCTAATGTAGTATCATCTAAAACTTGGTTGACATCACCGAGTTTTTTTTATATCAATCAGAGCTGATCGAATTTCGGTACGTCTAATGAAATGTTTTATCTTTAAAAAAAAATCAAATTATGCCGGTCTAATTAGTTTGGAGTTGGACATGGGGTGTGTATTTATGCAACTAATAAATTTTCTTTTTTTGCATATGTAAAAATTGTCTTGGATTACATGTAAACAACTTTTTCTGTTCTAAAATGATTATTTAGTTTGAATTTTTATTTTTTGGATCAATTTTTACTATAATTAAAATTTCAACCTGAACAATTTTGTTGCGACAAATAAAGTATATTTATTTACTAGAATTATTTTTTGTTTTATTTTTATATTTAATATCCATGGTGCCAATTTTTTTTCTTGCTTTATTTTAGATTAACAAATATGACTTTTATTTGAATTTTTTTTTGAAAATAAGGCATATTTATACTGCATTGGAAGTGGATAATCAGAATTTAGTAACTATCGAATAGGGTATACATGAGATGCATGGGAGGAAATGAACAGTAAAATTATGATATGATATAAGTTCTATGAAGTTAAGTATTTACTCATGGGATAAGTACAACTGAAATCATGTGTTGTTGAAAAAAGCTTTCTGATCATGTGGTTTGGTACGAGACCCTTTGGGCCAATGGTGTGGTGGCTTTATAATGAATATCGACTTCTGTACTATAACTGGTGCGGAGCTGTGGGGTTTGTTTTAGGGTTTGCATCTTGTTTGGGAGTTCGGGATGCAAAATATTATTGCTGAGGTTGATTACCTAAGTGTGATTAAGATGGTTGAGGGTGAGGAGGAGGTTTTTGGTTTGCATCGGGGCTTGGTCATAGCCATTCGTGACTTGTTACAAAAGACGTGGTCTGTGGAGTTAAAGTATATATATAAGAAGCGAAATTTTGTTACCAATTATTTAGTATCCTTAGAGGCATCGAGTTATGGAGGTCTATTGCAGTTTCAAGAACCACCGGCAGCAATCAAGACTTGGTTGCAGCATGATTTAATTGGTATATCATATCAGCGTTCTGTATTACTCGTATCTTAAGCATCTTTCCTCCTTTTTGTACCAAAAAAAAAAAAAAAACTTTCGGATCCTCTCAGATAATTAATACAATTCATGCTTTGTTGTTTTCTTTTTCTTTTTTTAATGAGGAAGAAATGCTCAAACCCAACCTGAGTTTGATCAACACTCACTTACCCAAAAATTCTCCATTATTACTACATATTCAAGGATCACCTTTCAATGCTCTAGATACACAAAAATGAGCTAATTTTTTAATATCAAGCAGTTTCTTTTTTGTTCTTGCTTTTCTGATTCAATAGGAAGCATCAGCTCATGATCATCATTGAAGCAAAACATGTCTTGGCTAGACAATTCTTGTACAATAGTCCAAAGGGGTTATATGCAATGGACATTGTTGTTGGTATATCATACGACACGCGACATCTCGACATTTATCTTATGATGTACTGTTTTCACTTTTCCAATTTTGCAGTTGTATATCCTAAAACAATGCAATTGAAACAAGAAATGTAGTCAAAGCGCTCAATACAATTCCAGCATTGAGTCTTATCCCGAAACTTTGGAGAGCAAGAGGGAATGGACACTCGGGCGTGGAGGGATTTTTCTTGACAATCTCAGCCAAACCTTTGAAATCACAAGCTTCAACATCTTGATTGTTCATTTGGTAATACATGTTAAATGCATAGGAAATATTCCCTCTTGTTCCAATTTTATTGCAAGATCCTCCATACCCTAAGCTTGTGCAATCTGATTGTCGACAAGCGTAGTCGATATTGGGTGGTATCCGGTCATCTGAGGTATTGATTCCGGCCTTCAATGCACACCATTGTGGTGGAAGGTATTGTACGTTTTTCGCGCCAACCGGCATCTTGCTGTTCCATTGTCCGGTGAAATCTAGTGCAAATTTTGGCTTTCCATCGTACCCGAAAATCCCCCAATGCCTCTCGAAACTACCCGGAGCAATGCTTTTGGCATTCTCATCTGTTAAGCTGAAAAGGTAGACATCAATATTACCTGGATGCAGGGGAGTTCCTTTCTTTGTTGCCATTTTCCTGAAGAAACCATTGTAAAATCTTTGTGCCAATCTGGTGTTGGCATTTATGTTTCCATCTGTAGGCCAACCGATTTCTCCTACTATGATTTTCACATTCGGGGTGCCGGACTTCTTCAAAGACCACGCAAGGGTGTCTAGATTTGCATCAAACATATTTGTATACTGGATGTTTCCATCCTGAACCGGTCGCGATCCGCCATCGAAGAAGGCAAATTCAACGGGGAAATCTGGATTTTCGTATAAACTGAGGAAAGGGTAGATGTTGACAAGGAATGGTGCTTTGTTGTCTTGTAGAAAAGTCACAATATCAACCATGAGGTCTCTGATATCGTCGCGAAAATCGCCGGCCGACGGACCATCTGAACCTGAGTCATACACATCTGCATTTTGAGGGATGGTTGCTTTGATCTTGTCCCCTAATCCAGCTTCATTGAGGGCCTTTTGGACATTCTGCAATGCTGGAAACGTTGTTTTCATGTGTGAACCATTGTAACTCTTCAAGAAAGGCTCATTTCCTACTGCAACATATCTGCATAAATAAGTTTACAAACACACACACAAAAAAAAGGGTAAATCTTTTATCATCAAAAAATGTAAGATGTGAGAATGAAAAATTGACCCAACTATTAAGGTGCTCAAGACCTTAATAGAGGTCACGAGTTTGAATCTCACCAGAACCGTGAAATGTAGCTATTCAAATGCAGAAAATGAAGGAGAAAAATAAACTAATCGGTAACTCACTTTATATTAGCACCACCATCATACATATGTGAAGTAACATTTTCTTTGACCCAATCTTTGGCATTGCCATATTTAGTAAGCCTTGACAATTGGTCATTAGGGATACCAAGCATAACTTCAATGCCTGTGCCGGCGAAGAATTTGACCGTCCAATGATCGGAGTCGAACAATTTGATCTTACTAATGTTGTTGTCCTTGAGCATCTGAACTACCATAGTAGGGTGCAAATCTTGAGCTGCTTGGGTACCCCAATTGACACCAATACTTTCAGCATAATTTGCCATCATCATCATCATTAAAAGCACAAAACAACAACAACAGGGCCATTGTGATAATGGTATCATAGCAAAAGCCATATTGTTGAGGAAGATTGAATATGGTTCAATGAAAGAAATTTTGATCAATATTGGTAGATAAATGAAAAGTTTGGAGATTTTGGTGAGAATCTTTTTTAGTGGAAAGGGATGAAACAAATTTGTGGAACTCCATGAATTTAGGAAGAAATGAAAGAATTTAACTACCACCTTCCACAATTACAACGAAATTTTTTGTCAATGGGCATTCTTAATGTTCTCCATCTATATCGAAACCGAGATACAAAATGTCTATTCCACTTGTCTTCTTCATTTTATTAGTTGAATGGATTCTTTGTTTGAATTGAGGAGAATTTTGAAAAGTAATTTTTTTTTTTGGCGTCTAGCTACTCAATATTCACATTCACTACGGTAATTAACTAAATTTTTGTATTTTGATCACATTACCCCACACGTCACACGATTCAAACTTTTAACGAAGTTAATGTGTATTATTTGTCAATTCGTCTTTCTCAACTCCAAAAAAAAAAAAATTGTTTGGTTTATCATATATAAAATTACATTAAATAAGATAATCAATTAGGACGTAGAAAATATTCAATTAAATATTAGTTACAAAACAAATAAAAAAAATTTATACCAAAAGAAAATAAATCAAGTTACAACATATAATTTTGTGGGTTTAAAATGCAACAGCGTACACATGTATTACTACTTTCCTTTTTATATTATGTTACTTTAAATATGAATAAGTAACTCTATCAAATGTCATGGTTATTCACTATATTATTCAGGAAAAAAATGACTGAAATTACTAACTTATAGTAGAAATAATTACAAACAGCTGGATTTTTATTTAAACATAATTGAAAATAAATAGAAAATATCTGAAACTTTTTCTTTTTCCCTTTTTTATTCAGTGAAAGTGGTGGAAATTGGAATACAAATGGAATAGAAAAAGAGAAAGGCACGCTTGACTACTACAGTCTTCCTTTAAACCCTGCTAAAGCCTTCAAAAGAACCATACTAAAGTGTTCACCTGAATATCCGCCACCCCACCGCCGCCCCCCACCGCCGTCCGCCGCCCGCCGCATCGGTCTCCATTATTCAATCACTCAATCTGGATTCAGGCGTATACCAATGTATGTTTCTGAACTGTTAGCTATTAGTATATCTTTATATATTGTATAAGGAAGGGCTATGTTTAATTTTTCTTTAGTTTTCTTTTTCATACTGGGTGTGTTTTGCTTTTCTTTGTAAATTTAATTGTTGTCTGTAAAACTTTAGCTTTATGGAGTTCTGGGTAGAACTCATTTTTGAGAAATAGTGGTCGTATGAGTGGAATTGATTGCTATTATGAAGTATGAACCATCCTTTATGTGCTGTAGACCTTGGGATTGAATTGCTTTCATAGTTCATGATGTTCTGTTAACGGTCTATGGCTTATTATCAAGTTTATAAAATTTTTATTCCAGATGGGGCTTGGTGTTTTACTGCTGAGTTTGTTCACTCTTTAATTCCATGATTTTGCAGATAAGGGGTAATGGCTGCTTCTCATTGTGAAATTGGAGCAGCTGAGTTTCTGCAAGTATGGACTGTCATTTTGAACTCTCTTTCTTGCCATTTTTTCTGATTAATGGTGTGTAATGGCAATATTGAGTTTTTGATGGTTTTGGTTCTTTTGGTGCTAATACAGGGATCCAGCAGGCAAAAATTGTTATTGCAGAGAACTCATCCGAGGTGTATCAATGGGTTACTTTGGGGTACCATTAGAGGAAAGCATCCTCTGTCAAAACTTCCTGGTAGAGGTAGGTTAACATCCCGTCTACCAGTCAAGGTTAAAGCTGCTGTATCTGGAAAGGCTAGTAGCTCTGTAGATGAGAAGCCAATTGAGGCCCAGGTGACATCTCAAGAAAATCTAATTCATTTTTATCGTGTGCCATTTCTTCAAGAAAGTGCGACAGCAGAACTTCTTAAAGCAGTTCAGACAAAAATCTCAAGTCAAATAATAGGCTTGAAGACTGAACAGTGTTACAATATTGGGTTGAATTCCAATCTTGCAAACGAGAAACTTTCATGTCTTCAGTGGATTTTAGGGGAGACTTACGAGCCTGAAAATTTGAGCACTCAAAGTTTTCTTGACAAAGAAATGAAGCAGAGTTCTAATACAGTTATAGTTGAAGTTGGACCCAGACTATCTTTTACCACGGCATGGTCAGCAAATGCTGTGTCAGTTTTCAAATCTTGTGGGTTGACAGAGATAAATAGGATAGAGCGGTCACGGAGGTACTTGTTGTATCTGGAGCCTGATAGTGGTTCATTGATGGATAGTCAAATTAATGAATTTGCTGCTATGGTGCATGATCGCATGACAGAATGTGTTTATGTCGATAAGCTTACTTCATTCAAGACTAATGTGGTTCCAGAGGAGGTCAGGTATATACCAGTCATGGAAAAGGGAAGGGAGGCTTTGGAAGAAATCAACAAGCAGATGGGTTTGGCCTTTGATGAACAAGATTTGCAATATTACACCAAGCTTTTCAAGGATGATATTAAGCGGAATCCTACAAACGTTGAGTTGTTTGACATAGCACAGTCCAACAGTGAACACAGCAGGCATTGGTTTTTCACCGGGAAAATGGTTATTGATGGTCAACCCATGGAGAGAACTCTTATGCAGATTGTTAAGAGTACTTTGCAGGCAAATCCCAACAATTCTGTCATTGGCTTCAAGGATAACTCCAGCGCAATCAAAGGTTTTCCGGTGAAGCAGTTGCGGCCAGTTCAACCAGGTTCTACATGCCAATTGAACATTAGTGATTGTGACCTTGATATCTTATTTACTGCTGAGACTCACAACTTTCCGTGTGCCGTGGCACCATATCCGGGGGCTGAAACCGGTGCTGGAGGACGAATAAGGGATACACATGCAACTGGTAGGGGTTCTTTTGTTGTTGCAGCTACTGCCGGATACTGTGTCGGTAATCTCAATATTGAAGGATCATATGCTCCATGGGAGGATCCCTCGTTCACCTATCCATCAAACTTGGCATCCCCATTGCAAATACTCATCGATGCTAGTAATGGTGCTTCCGACTATGGTAACAAGTTTGGAGAACCCTTGATTCAGGGTTACACAAGGACTTTTGGTATGAGGCTTCCAAGTGGGGAGCGACGTGAATGGTTAAAACCAATTATGTTCAGTGGGGGAATTGGACAAATTGATCACACCCACATATCAAAAGGTGAGCCTGATATCGGAATGTTAGTTGTGAAGATAGGAGGACCAGCTTATCGCATAGGAATGGGAGGTGGTGCTGCATCCAGCATGGTCAGTGGTCAGAATGATGCTGAGCTCGATTTTAATGCTGTACAACGCGGGGACGCAGAGATGGCGCAGAAATTATATCGTGTTGTCCGCGCATGCATTGAAATGGGAGAGGAGAATCCGATTATAAGTATTCATGATCAAGGAGCTGGTGGAAATTGCAATGTTGTCAAGGAAATAATATATCCAAAAGGTGCTCAAATCGATATAAGGGCGATTGCCGTTGGAGACAACACAATGTCTGTCCTAGAAATATGGGGTGCAGAGTATCAAGAGCAAGATGCAATATTGGTGAAGCCTGAAAGCCGCAGCCTGTTGGAGGCAATTTGTGCGAGGGAACGTGTTACTATGGCTGTTATTGGAACTATTAGTGGTGACGGGCGCATTGTCTTGGTTGACTCTTTGGCGATTGAGAAATCCAGTTCAAATGGATTGCCACCTCCACCACCAGCTGAGGATCTCGAGCTTGAAAAGGTTCTTGGTGATATGCCACAGAAAACTTTTGAGTTCCAACGCTCAGTACCTGTGCTTGAGCCTCTTGAGATAGCACCAGGGGTGACGGTTATGGATGCTTTGAAACGGGTCTTGAGACTTCCTTCTGTTTGTTCGAAGCGGTTCTTAACCACAAAAGTTGATAGGTGCGTCACTGGTCTCGTGGCACAACAACAAACAGTGGGTCCTTTGCAAATTCCTCTTGCTGATGTTGCTGTTATTGGTCAAAGCTACACTGATTTTACGGGAGGTGCATGCTCAATTGGGGAGCAACCAATCAAGGGGCTTTTGAATCCAAAGGCAATGGCACGGTTGGCTGTTGGAGAAGCACTTACAAATCTTGTTTGGGCAAAAGTTACTTCTCTTTCTGATGTCAAAGCGAGTGGAAATTGGATGTATGCAGCTAAACTAGATGGGGAAGGAGCTGCTATGTATGATGCTGCGGTGGCGCTTGCAGAAGCAATGATTGATCTTGGTATTGCTATCGATGGAGGGAAGGATAGTCTCTCTATGGCAGCCCAGTCATCAAGGGAAGTTGTTAAGGCTCCAGGAAATCTTGTGATTAGTACTTACGTAACTTCTCCTGATATAACTAAAACGGTTACTCCAGATTTGAAACTTGGTGATTCAGGCATTTTGCTTCACATTGACTTGGGAAAAGGTAAGCGGCGGCTAGGTGGATCAGCTCTTGCTCAAGCATTTGGTCAAGTGGGGGATGAATGCCCTGACCTTGATGATGTCCCTTACCTCAAAACGGTTTTCAATGCGGTTCAGGAACTTCTTGATGGAAAATTGATCTCGGCAGGTCATGATATCAGTGATGGAGGGTTGATTGTCAGTGCGCTGGAAATGGCGTTTGCTGGGAACTGTGGGATATCCTTGGATTTGATATCATATGAGTGTGGTGCAATTCAAACTCTGTTTGCAGAGGAACTTGGACTTTTAGTTGAGGTCAACAAGGAACAATTGGATAACGTAATGATGAAGCTTTCAAATGTTGGCATTTCCGCTGAAAAAATTGGCAGCGTGACTGTGTCTCCTGTGGTGCAGTTGAAGATTGATGGGATTCCAATTCTGAATGAGAGCACTTCCTTGCTCAGGGATATGTGGGAAGAGACCAGCTTTGAAATTGAAAAGTTCCAAAGATTGGCTGCTTGTGTTAAACTAGAGAAAGAGGGTCTGAAAAGTCGCCATGAACCTAACTGGAAGCTGTCCTTCACCCCAACATCCACGAATGAGAGATACATGAATGCCATTGCCAAACCCAAGGTGGCAGTAATAAGAGAGGAAGGAAGCAATGGGGACAGAGAAATGGCTGCTGCATTTTATGCTGCTGGCTTTGAAACATGGGATATTACAATGTCCGACCTCCTTAGGGGTAATGTCTCTTTGCAAACTTTCAAAGGGCTTGTATTTGTAGGTGGTTTTAGCTATGCTGATGTATTGGATTCAGCAAAAGGTTGGGCAGCATCTATACGTTTCAATCGTCCTCTGCTAGATCAGTTTCAAAAATTTTATGAGCGTCCTGACACTTTCAGTCTTGGGGTATGTAATGGCTGTCAGCTTATGGCTTTGTTGGGGTGGGTTCCTGGCCCCAAGATTGGGGGGGTTATGGGTTCAGGTGGTGATCCTTCACAGCCTAGGTTTATTCATAATGAATCTGGAAGGTTTGAATGCCGCTTCACTAGTGTGAAAATTGAGGAGTCACCTGCTATTATGTTTAAAGGAATGGAAGGTAGCACACTGGGTGTTTGGGCTGCTCATGGTGAGGGAAGAGCTTATTTTCCCAATGATGATGTGAGGAGCTCTGTACTCAACTTAAACTTGGCCCCAGTAAAGTATTGTGATGATGATGGGAATCCAACAGAAGTTTACCCCTTCAATCTGAATGGTTCTCCCATGGGTGTTGCAGCAATTTGTTCTCCTGATGGAAGGCATCTGGCCATGATGCCTCATCCTGAGCGCTGCTTTCTGATGTGGCAATACCCCTGGTATCCTAAGCACTGGAACGTGGATGAGAAAGGCCCCAGCCCATGGTTGAAAATGTTTCAGAATGCAAGAGAGTGGTGTTCATGAGGTGAGTTTTAGCACCCAATTTTTACAATTGTGTTTGTTGAATTTTCTCGTCATTATAGATGGTTAATTAACTAGGATCTATTTTGTCATTGTAGATGTACTTTTTGTGGATGTTTTGAAAGGGTTGCAGTGAACCAGTTGTCTTAGTCTCAAAGGGCTAGCATTCTTCTTCTCGCCCGGGGAATACACATCAACCTTTAGACTAGGGAATAAATCCTTTGATGCCTTCCTGAACTTTTTTGTGAGACTTTGTATGAAGTTGATAATAAGTGTGTTTCTTCACTCCTTGGCCTAGTTTGATACTGATTTGAGTTTATCTGGAATATGATATGTAGCTTATTGAAGGTAATGAAGGCGCTGAAATGTTCTGGATTTTTTTTAATTGTAAGCATGATTTTGTAACTAAGAAAAAAGACTTTGATAGGAACAAGATGAAGTTGGGCAAGATTCTTTCTCCTGGTTTAAGAGAAGTTCTGTAATAGTTGAAAAGTTAAGAGTATCCCTTGAAGAAAAACATTTTTTTTTTGAAGAAACATATATATAGATATATGAGCAATACTCAACGTACATGGTTACATAAACTGAAACTCTAATTCAAGAGAATTCGACTAAATGCAGTCCATGAATTAGCTGTAGAGCTCTTCTTAATTTATTGAATTCGGCAAGCTCCGGATCGACGACTCCACTCCAGTGTGAGCTTACTCTTTTGTAAAACTGTCCAGAAGCTCCGTGACAAAGATACCAAGGCCAAAGCAATTATACATTTGAGAGATTCCTCTGTCAAAAACGACATGAAAACCAAGGATTCATGGAGGAGATTAAAAGAAAAAAAAAATAATAAATAAAAAAAAATGGCGAACTACACCAGGAAAGAGGTTACCTGTGCTGTGACCTGCGACTCCATACATTCTGAAATGCAAGTACATTCTGGCTTGTAGAAGCTACCCAAAGGAGGCGCTGGTACTTACATGTTCAAATATTTGGGATGGGATCGAGCTAACTTTTTTTTTTTTTTTTTTGGAAAGGTAAATATTTACATTAACACCAAACGATGAAACTCCTTTACATACTGAATCAGTTTTGAGAACTCCACACCCACATCGCTAACGACAAAATTTCAGAGATTACTTTGTGTCTCAATACAAACCAGTACAAACACTCGAAGAAACAAAAACAATTCTAACTGTCAGAAACTAGGAAAGTACAGTTGCAAAATCTTGGTTTCTAAGGGGGAGCATTTCCTTTTCTTCCAATATTTGAAGCGAATCAAAACCTCTTGCTGCACCTTCTGAAATAACTCATCAGGAGCTTTGCCACTTGCTCAAAATGTCTTTTGTTTCTTTCCTCCCACACGACATACATGCATGCCAAAAAAGCAGCGAGAAAGATCCTTTTTTTCTGAGTACCTGTCCTTTCCACATATTCTCCCATTGCTTTATCCAAACCTGTTTCACAGGACTGATCAATTTGCAATGTAACCATCCTCTGAGCAGAGCTAGCAGATCCCTGGCATATCTGCACTGAAAATAAATATGATCCACAGTTTCTGCTTCTTCTGAGCACAACAGACAACAACTATCATTAACAGGAATCTGCATTTTGGCTAGCCTATCCTTTGTGAGGATTCTGCCTTTCCACACCAACCAAGAAATAAAATTATGCTTAGGCCTGTTATTACTTGCCCAAATGCTCTGAGTGATCTTCACCTGCCCACCATCCCCCCATCAACCACCGATAACCAGAAGCAATGGTAGAGTTCCCGTTGCTCTTCTGCTTCCACCTGTGGCCGTCAAATCCATCCTTAATCCAGTCCCTAACCTTCAATAGTTGTTTCCACTGCCAGCTAGAGTCATTTTTAGCCTGGACATCCCAGGAATTGGTTCCTTTGATGTAAACACCATGAACCCATCTAACCCATAGTGCTTCTTTATTCTCAGCCAGTTGCCCAACCTGCTTAGCAACGGCAGCAATGTTCTACACTCCGGCATCTCTGATTCCAAGACCACCAGCTGACTTTTTCTTGCAGACTTCTTCCCAATTAACCAATGACAGAGACCTTTCCTCAGAACTGCCATTCCCCAAGAAATCTCTACAAACCCTATTAATCATATTCGTGACACTTTGTCGCAGGATAAACATAGCTCCCCAATAAGAATTCATAGACATTAAAACAGAGTTCACTAGTAGAAGCCTACCAGCCTATGATAAATGTCTACTACTCCAGAATTTTACTCTTGCAACAATTCTATTAACAATGTCCTGACATTCAACTTGGGACCACTTTTTCGGAGGCAAAGCAACACCAAGATAAGTCCTAGGGAATGTACCTACTGAGAATCCTGTGAGTTTGCAGAAATCCTCCCGTTGCCTGTCATCAACTCCCCCAAAATATATGGCAGATTTCTGAGCATTTGCAACTAGACCAGTAGTATCCAAAAAATCCCTGAACACAGCCATTATCTTTGTAACAGTTTTCACATCTGCTTTGCAGAAGACCATTAGGTCATCCGCAAAGCCAATGTTTGTGAGCTTGAGCTTATCACACATTGGATGAAATTTAAATTCCTTCTCAGCTGCACATTTCAGACTACGGGTTAAATATTCCATTGTAAGCACAAATAATAGAGGGGACACTGGATCACCCTGTCTCAAACCCCTTTTTTCCAGCAAAATAACCCACATTTGACCCGTTAAGTGATAAAGTAGAAGCAGGAGAAGAAATATAGGCAATGATCCAGCTTCCGAGCAGTTCATGGATTCCAAACCCTAGCATCATTTCCTCGATAAATTCCCATTCTACTGAGTCATATGCTTTTTTCAAATCAATTTTCATCATAATTCTACCAATAATGCCCTTTCTTTTATACAATCTTATAAGCTCTTGCGTAATTAAAACATTATGCATAATAAGCCTAGTTTTTACAAAGGCTGTTTGATTTTCATCTACCAGTTTAGGCATTATCTCCCTTAGTCTATTACATAAAACTTTCGAAATACATTTGTATAAAACATTACAGCATGCTATTGGTCTATAATGACTAGCATTTAATGGAGAATTTATCTTAGGAATTAATGCAAGAGTAGTTGAATTAACTTGTTTTAGCAGCTGACCTAATTCGAAGAACTCCAATATAGCATCAGTGATCTCCTTTCCAATGATCGCCCAAGCTGCTTTGTAAAACCAGCTCCGAAACCATCAGAACCCGGACTCTTCACCTCATTCATCTCCCACAAGGCAGCCTTTATCTTAGCAGGTGTCACTTTAGTAATCAGCCTTAACTGTTGGTCAATATTTAGGATTGGACCTGCCAAAAAAACTTCAGGTGTAGCTGATACCCTTTCAGAGGTCTGACCCAACAACTAATGATAAAACTTCAAGAAATGATTTTCGATCCCTTCCCAATCCCTGATTTCAACTCCATTCTCCACCACAGACCAGATCCTGTTTCTCATGGCCTTAAACTTTCAGAACAGAGCGAAAGTATCGAGAATTTTCATCTCTCTCAGCCATCCATTGTTCCTTGGCCTTTTGTTGTAAAAAACTATTTGCTGCTCTTCGGGCAGTAACATAGTCCTTAAAGGCTTTTCTCTCCTGCTGTTGAATTTCCTCATTGCATGGATCATGGCTTAACTTTTCTTGCAGGTCAGTCAGCATCACTTGGAAACGATTAGCAGTTACCACTATGTCATCAAACTGAGATCTGTTCAGTTCTCTCAGTTTCGGCTTCAACCTTCTTAACTTGGTGCACAGTTGAAACATCTTTGTACCTTTTACTGGTTGATCCCACACCTCTTTGAAAATTCTCAGAAACAGTGGAGATTGACTCCACATATTAAAAAATCGAAAAGGTTTCGGTTTTGATGTATACTCCTCTTGCAGTAACACTTCCAGGGGAGAATGATCAGAGATACTTTCAGGTAAGACTGAGACCAGTGAATCATTAAACTGCTCCACACATTTCCCATTAACTAGCACTCTATTGATTTTGGAGTATATCCTATCAGAGCCTAATCCCTGATTGAACCACGTATACCATTTTCCTTTTTGCCGTAAGTCTTGTACTCCACATTCCTTTACGCAACATTGAAATTCCTCAAAATATTTTGATTCCACTGCTCTGCCCCCTAACTTCTCTTCTGGTTTAAGGATGTTGTTGAAATCCCCCATGATGATCCAAGGTCCTTCTATTTTCCTTGCCATCATCATGAGATCATTCCGGAGAACTGATTTTCCATCTGCTTCATTAGATGCATGCACACAAGTGATAGAAAATTGGTTGCCATCCCTCTTCTGAGTACATACACTATGCACAAACTGATCAGATTCTTCTTGTACTTCTAATTCAATACCGTCATCCCATAAAATTAATATTCTGCCTCTCTTCTGTTTACTGTGGTTTGTTACTTATTGCCATCCAACCCAATTAAACTTCAAATAATCATCACATCTTGACGTTATCATTTTTGTTTCCACCAGGCTAACTAGATTATATACTTTTTTTTATCTCCACCAGCCTCTTTAACTCTTTTTGCTTCAGGGGAGAGTTCAAACCCCTTATGTTCCATGATAACATAATACACATTAGAACTAGGACCATGATTGAGCACTGTGCCCTCCAAGGACCCAATTCTAACATGTGCGCTTACACTACCGTTCTGCAGTATTACAGTTTTTTTTAGGGGGTTTCAGAGGGAGTTCCCTTGCAACTGTATCCTCAGTATCATGAGCAGTAGTGCCAGCACTCTTCTTTGATTCCTGTATGGCTTTGCCCCTGTCCACTGGAATACCATTAGTTTCCCCCTCACATACTATAGCCTTGTTTTCAGAATGCACTTGACCACCTAGAGTACTATCAACCCTATGTAGATCCATTTCTGCATCACTTTTATCCTTATTCAGTACATCCACCACTTCTTTTCCTTTTACAAATTTTCTCTATTCTGGCACAGGTGACTCTTTCTTGTTCTCAACAACAACTGTTTTTGCCTACAGCTTTCAATTTGATGGCCAAATCCTTTGCAGCATTGATATTGCGTAGGCAACTACTCATACACTACTTTTGCACCCTGACGTTACCCTTTTCATCTTTAAATACTATTCATTCAGGCACATTATCTGACATATCCATTTCAACAAGTAACTTGGCATATTGTACTCGAGTTTTGTTAACAATGTGATCATCCGCTTCAATAGGGGATCCTATGGTGCTAGCCAGGAAACCTAATGAATTTAAATTCCAATGCTTAAAATCTGGTCCATGTAATTGGACCCAGACAGGCACTTTTCCTACTTCTCTATAATTAATTCCTTTATTAACAGTCCAAGGCTTAACAATGAGGGGTTTATTTCCAAAATGAAGAATCCTCACATTTAGGATTTCATCTCTAGCCTGAGCAGTTTTAAATCTGACAAGGAACAACACAGAAGGAAGGAGGATTACTTGGTCAATCCCTTTCCGGCCCCAAGACTTTCTGATGTAATCTTTCATAACCCACTTGGGAGGGTTGGCTCCTAGACAAAGAAAACCAACGCAGAACCCCAATAGTCAGTCTCTGTTTGAACATCAGCAGGTTGGATTTTCGCAATTTTTTTGCCCCTCTCGTTCCATCTGCTTAGTAAAATTCAGTTGACCCCTCGAGGCTTTTAGCTAATCCAAATCCGGTTTCTCCCACACATTCTGAGAATCAAGCTTTTACTATTTCTCCGACCAAGTGAGTTTGCCTCTTGGCGTTAACCTCAGCAACCCTAGGTTCCAGTTTATCTCTCAATCGCCCACTTGCACAGCCTTCACTCAACTTTGCTGGCGCAGTACTCAGGCTTCCCATTCCAGTAGCAGGCGGTGTGACCCTGTTTCCATCATCTTCTGTCCGTGACGATGAACCTTCAATCTTTTGGACCAACATATCTAGTTCTTCCCCCTGTCTCCTGATTACTTCCTTTCTTGCAGGTCTACCCATATGCTGAATAGTCATAGTCAATTTATCTAATTTTTCTGATTGGATCAGGCTTTTCCCCTTCTTCTTCCGGCCAAACATGGCAGGCGCATGATAGCGCTCATGCGCCGAAAGAAAAGACTGCTTATGTTTATTAGATCAGGCTAACTTGAATATCCTAGTTCTTAAATGCCCTATTGGATGAAAAGATGAACCAAAAATCTGTGAGCACTTTTCATCATTGAACATAATGCCACACAAAAGATAACTTCAACAATGCTATATATGTACGTACCTATATTCCTCCTCCCATAATTTTTAGTTATGCTAATATTTAAGCTCTACATCTAAATCTAATGTATGAAAACTTTTGCACCCAAATGCCAGGGAAAGAGTTCTTATGCCAGCCAAAAAAAAAAAAAAAAGGCCATATATGGGCAATTTTGTGAAGAGTTAATTTTGCTATGGACTTTAAAACTCGCACCTGTAACATCTCCGGTCTTTTCTAATCATTCTTTGGTGAGTGTTAGAAAACATCGTCCGTGGTATGGTATCTGTGGTGAAAAGACTATAGATTAACAATACTAGTGATATACTACATAATTCTATCAACTAGCAAATACTCGAATGGTTGGGTTATCTTGTTGAATAATCAAGATACTTTACAGGAGCCAATGCAAGATGTTAATCAAGCATCCAGAGTTTTGGATTTTCAGATAGATAAATCAGTTGCAATCTAGTTTTGCATAATAATTTTTTGTATAGAATGTTTTGTACAGTTTTATTAGTCTAGGGACCTTTTCTATTAATATTAGGAAGTTATGGAAAGTTTGACTTGTCAAACTTAGGTTGTATATATATCAAAATTTATACAGAACACATACGGGTTCTATTCGATGAAATACAGTTTTTTTCCCCAAATCAAAAACCCTATTTCCCTTTTCTAAGATATCTTCAAGCACAAAGGAATCACCAGATTTTGTAACCTAAATGAGCAAAATGATAAACCAGAGTTGAGGTAGAAAAAGAGAAGAAATGGGAGTGGAAAACTCCCTTGACTCCTCAACAGATTCCGCAGAGATCAAGTTCCCATCAGGATCTCGATATGCCATATATTTGAACCTGCAATTTAAGAATGGTAAAACAACTAGCAGCAATAAATGAATCACCAAGCCAATCCTACAATGTTACTTACTTCTCCTAGGATAATGCCTTGATTAATGACACATTGGATAGGTTCCTCGGTTGATACCACACCAATATCATAAAGAACCTGAAACAAACAGTTTAAAATTTTAAATGGTGCCTGCCCTTATTCATGGGCGGATCTATATTGGGGATTATGGGGGCCTTGGCCTCCACTGGCCCTACCAAAACCTTTTATTATATATATTTATTTTAACAGAAAAAATATAATTCATGTTTTAAGAAATTTTTTAATTTTATTTTTCTATTAATTTATATTCTCTTAATTGAATCTTGGGTTGATTAAATATGGTCAACATCTTGAATGAATTCGTACTAATAGGTACTATATGATTAAAAAAATAAATAAAATTACGAGTTTTTTGAAATATAATTATACTAATGATGTACAAAATTCTAGTAATAAAATGACCAAATATAATTAAATCATTCAATTTAAATAAGTCTTTCTCATTCCATAATTTAAACATTCATCATATGTTTGAAAGATTCATTTTCCCCTTTTTTTGAGTACATATACATGCAGGGATATATATATATATATATATGTGTGTGTGTGTGTGTGTGTGTGTGTGTGTGTGTGTGTGTGTTCTATTGAAAAATTTTAATACTTAAAAAGGTTATGATTTTGATTATTGATGTGATAATTGAGCAAAGAGTATTTAGTTATGAACACAACATTATGTGTTCGAGTATGAAATACTTATTCTTGAATTATGTCTGACTTAATTTTTATGTTAAAAACAATATTATAGGACACACTTATGATGTGAAAGCGGTTCAAAAAAATCAAAATTAAAAAATTCATTATGATCAACACTAATACATAACGTTATGAAATTATTTTTGCTAATCTAGTCATGGCCTCCGTAAGAATTTGTTCTAGATCCGCTACTCATAGAATACTGAAGATCAATATTAAATGAACAAGAATAATCAACAAGATTCAGCTGAGAAAAATTGAAAAGATTCAGCTGAGAAAAGTTGAAGTAGAATTATGGAAAAGATCTTAAGGTTCTTTGATAAGAAGATTCTCGAAATACGATTTAGAAAGACAACTGTATTCTTTACACTTTTCTGATGAACTACTACATCTATATATATACAAGTCCTTAACCAACTAAAATTCTTTCTATTTACAAAACAAGAACTAAATCAAAAGCTTCTAGGTAATAGCTGAATGATGATTTCCCAGCCTCTTGTCACGTGAGCTTGATTTTGCTAAGCTGTCAGTTGGACACGTCTAAACACTGGTGCATAAGGAGGTCTTTGGATCGATTCCAGGCAGCAGTGTTGATGCATGTTCATCTTCCACGCACGCAGACGAAGCTTGCACGAAAGCTATTTGATGATGTTGATCATTCTCATTACTCTTTAGCTACTGGTCATGATCAATCGGACTTTATGATTGAATTAGATTCTCCACTTGTCCACATTGTCGAGTTTAATCATGCGGATGTCTCTCAAACATCCAAAAGCCTAAACGGTGCTCCTATAGTTGAGGTCCATAAGACTGCCCTTGCAGACGACATCTTTGTAAGATTTCATGATTCATACTTACTGGTCAAATCCATTGTGATTATTAATTCAAATGAAAAACTGGTTTTTGGAATGTTGTGCTCCCATCTACCAAGGTAGTTGCAGAAGTACAACCAGAGTTTGTTGAGGTCAAAAGATGTCCAGGCAGAGGGATAATTATTACAGGACCAGCCCTACCTGAATCAGGATTTGACTTTTATATTCGATTCTTCTACCCCAAATTGGCGGTTAATAATGTAATATGTGTGGCTCATCGATAATAAAATCAAGCATAGGTTGAACTAGGCAAACTATGTACTCCCTTTGTCCCCCCCAAAAAAAAACCACATTAAATTTTGAGTTTTGTATTATTTTTAGTACAAATTTGAAATCCAATGTGAACTATTTTTTTGGGACAAAGGGAGCAGTATACTTTTGCATCATTTGCAGCAAATTGATGCTATCGTGTAGTTTTTGCAGTTGTGGAATAAAAAGTTCACTATTCCATTTTCAGTGAGTTTGTTATGTAATTCCAGGACCCTGTATGTGGAAGTGCTCATTGTGCCATTGCACCCTATTCGAGCAAGAAGCTTGGGAAATTTGATTTTGTTGCACATCAGGTATTTGTTTTTTCTTTCTTCTTTTTTTTTTTGTTGGATGCATTGGCCTTTTCATATATCATCCTCAATTGCTCATTTATATATGATAATATGGGTGATAACATCTCATACCCTTCGTCACAAAGTGATGCATAATGGCAAATTTGATTGCTTAATACACCGAACCTTTCAGCTTGACTCAGACTTAATAGAACCTTGAATAACACCACCAGAATTTTGTTTTACATTTCTCATCCATCTCTTAAGTACACAATGTGAAGGAAAATTCTGCAAACGTTCAACTTTCATTACTGGAACTATATGAGCACATGACCACCCAGAAGTTTCAGAAATTACACAGGAACATCGAAATCGCATTTCATCCCCATTGTATAAAACATTCCAGCAAACATTAGAGTTCGAGTATGATGTCACTTCTTAAACCTTAGAAGAACCTGTCTCCTGAATAATCTTAGTAATCAGCATCGCCGTCCATTCTAATTCTTCACAAATTTGAAAAAACACATTGCTTGTGTATAGATCGCTTATGTTCTTCTCAAAATTAGGCTCGTGAGAGGTTAAAACTGGGCTGGTGTTACAGGTGATGGTGACTGCTTCTGCTTCTGCTTCTTATTTCAGAGACATACCAAATCAAACTCAAAAGACCTCACAAATTGATAAAATCTCATCTACGAGTCCAAATATTTTTTGAACTCTGCATTCATGCCTTCATATCGGGATGTTGCTCTCATGTTTCCCCAAAAATGTCCCATTAGGTAAGCGTCTTCCCATTTTGACCATTTTTCATATATATTTTTAACCCAAGAATTATCCTGCAAGTCACATTTAGTAACTAGTTGCTCCCATTTATTCTCAAATTCCTTTTTTGTGCACTTTAGTTTTATGAATTTACCTAAATTATCCCGAAATTCTTTGAGATCGAACATTGGTCAAAGCATTATTTTGAATGTGCCGAGTGCATAACCTATGCCTCACTCCAGATTGCATGATCATCGTCCGTAATTACTGCATCCGGTTTCTTCCCATCCATTGCTTCCATTAATTTTGCAAAACCCAAATATATGGTTCCTCAACTTCATCTGATAATAATGCACAACCAAAAATGCATGTCATATAATGGTTGTTGACACCATCAAATATAAGCAATGGTTTATCATACACATTGGTACGATATGTGAAGTCAAATATCAACACATCACCAAAAACCTTGTAGTCACTAATGGACCTTGAATCACACCAAAATAATTTTGAAAGTCAACTTTCATCATTGATATCACGGTCATAGTATATTAATTGTTCAGAATCTTTTTTTTTTTGCACACAAATAAGCTAATGCACTTTTAGCATCTCCGTCCTTTAGCTGTTTTCGTTTCTCAGTAGCCATGAAATTATGCAAATCATTAAGAGTGTATCCTACTTTGGGGTATCCACCGGCTTGAAGAGTAGATTATTTCATTATATCATTCGGACGCCAACCTTTTGCTTGCATTAAAGAGGCCTAAGCTATGTCCATATTTTGAACAATATATGTGATCGAATGAAAGGAACACACTCTTGACAAAGCATCCCATGGTTATTTTCCTTTACAATTTGTGTGATTATGCATTTCTTCATGTCATTCATGTATCTCACTCAAAACTAGCTTTGCATCCAACTCTGGTATATGGGTTTGCCCTTCTTTTCTTTAGTGTGTTG